GCCACGCATATAAAGGATTTATAGTGAAAAACTTTGTTTTTACGGGTTATACTGGTTTTTATCTACCTACGTGACTTTACCGAAAGAACCCAAGAGTATAGATCGTCATCAGTGGACCAATGGTGCCCCACGTGGGCGCGTGACTGGGGACTTCATGAGTTTCCTGGCGACATTCACGCGTTTCATTGTTTGCTCCGTCCAGGTTCGGTGTCGCAGATGTATGAATAAATCGCAGGTTGTGTTCATGTTTTAGGCCCATATCTGTGGAGTAGGCGTCGATCAAGCATTGTCTGTCATTGCTACCGTGTTACATCGGATTGAAGGAGTGACCGGTGTGTGTGTAATGTTCGGGTCAGGACACGTATTGGATTTTAAGCTTTCGTGACTGCAGGAATCCATACTCTTTGGTTCTTTCGGTAAAGTCACTTAGGTAGAAAATAATATAAGTCACGACGTTTCGATTGCAACACAAGCAATCATCAGCAGGTGGGCACACCACAGCAAGAAAAATGTTTGCTGAAGTGGTTTTACCACCTGACGATGATTGCTTGTGTTGCAATCGAAACGTCGTGATTTATTTTATACCTACGTGACTTTAACGAACGAACCAAAGAGTACGTACTGTATTGATATCAGGAATATTACATTGCTTATTAATCAGGCATTTTATATTATAATAAAAACATTAACATGTAGTTTTTTTTTTATCTACCACGTGTTTTGTTTAAGGGATTTATGTGTGAAGTTTATATTTTTAATCGCCTTGCGTTTCATGTTGATATTTCGTTCCACGTGTTTTAGGTTTAATTGTGACTGCAGTATATAGTAGACCGTTTCGTGTTTAACTGTGTTGCGAAATACACCTCCAGCGTTTATTGTCAGACTCAACCTGGTTATCTTAATCTGACGTTTATCGATGGCACGTCTCATACTGGTCAGGAAATCCGATCATTAGGACTGCATTGCTGCGCTCCATACAAACATTTTGTTTAGTTTGCTTCGTTTTAAATTCAGATCTCCCCTTGAATTGGAGACGTAGTCTTAACGGGCTATTATCGTTTCCTTGCGGCGTCGCACTGACCGCTCGTACGAATCCTCCGCGTCGGACAACGCAGGTCGATTGGCCTTGCAGGACGGAATTTTGATGTGGAGGGAGGATATGGTTGTTCGGTGGTGGATTATGGTGCCAGATGCACTGCGGGACGAATTGGTGCGTGTACTACATGCAGAGAAGTTATTGCACCTGGTTGTGCAGAAAACCTTATTCACACTGCAAGGGGATTACTTTTGGCCGGGCACGACGGCCGAGATCGCTAAGATTATCCGTGCCTGCCCCCACTGCGCTCGACGGAAACCGCCGCAGCGAAAAGATCTTCCGCCTTTGCCGTCTTTCAGTTACACGCATTAATGAGCTGGTGGCTCTTGATGTTCTGGGCCCATTTCCACCCACTCCCCGGGGCAACAAATTCTTTGTGTGGGGTTGAAATATTTATCTCGATGGCCAATTGCATGACCGTTGCGCGATCAATTGGAATCCTCATCACCAATGCGTTTGTGAATGGATACGTTATGGACAAGGGTGCCCCAGGACCATTGCCCTTCCCGCTTGTGACCGAGGTGCTTTATAATCCCACCAAGGCAAAGAGAAACCGGTGTCAATCTCTAGGTGGAATGGGGGTTGCAATGGTCTTTCCAGTTTGCCCAGATAGTTTTTTTTGCCATGTAGGTTGAGTATGGCATAAAACAGGGTTGACAGCCCCCTTGGTTTTAAACTCTTTTAAGCAGTCCGGGGGCCCACCTCTGTACCACAGTTGAAATGGTTAATATCCTGATAACTAGGACATATCCAGAAGGCCAAGATTTGTCTGTATGGTGCCTTGGTGGACATCTAGGAGCAGGTCTGGAGACAGAGCTTAGCCTTCCTTTCACGAGTAAGATAGTGCAATCTCTCTCGTGGATCCACAGCTTGGGCGGGTGAAACAGCTTGGCGTGTACACGTTTCCCTATCCAGTGTCTCTATGTTGGACATTTCATGGTGCAGTCGTTGAGAGTTTAGGATGCAGAATGTGGAGCTGAAGACATTGGGTTCCACTGGAAAAACACCCTGGTTAGTTGATGCCACCAGGCTGGGCTCACCACCAGGTCAAGGCACCCAAGAAAGCGCTACTAAGGCCAGCCCAAACCCAAGGTGAGAGAATAAAGGTTACATTACATCCTTTTGTCAGTAATGTGTGCGAGATGGTGCGGGCGAGGGAGACAGTTACATGTATAATGGGAGGGCTCTTCAAATAGTGAGGCTCCCAATTTAAAAACTCTCACTGCCACCAGTGGGGCATGCAGTCTTCCCCCTTAAAGGGAAAGCCGTGGCAAGGTCGCATGGCCCCTCGGGTGGAGGGTGTGTGTAGGCCTCCTTTAGGCGAGGTTCATGCCACTCAGAAGGGTCCCACTGCTCTAGGTGATATCCACAGATTGAAGGATTATATAATTTCACACCAAAAACCACCATTCACCATTAAGTCACGTTGCCTTTACCACACTGCCCTTGCCACGCTCGGTGCAGGAGGCCACAACCATGAAGGTTTTGCAGCATGAAATCTGGTAAGTGGTACACCCTCGGGGAGGAAAGGGAGTGCCTCCCCAGGGAGGGCTACGCGGAATGTCCTCCCATACCAAATAACGAGGACAATGGGAGAAAGGAGAGAGACATGTTGGGGGGGTGGCCTCAGTCTGCAGCCAGGCTCGTCGGCAGAGCAGAGGGCCATGTGACACTCCCTGGAGTAGCAGTTAGGACAGCTGAGATGGTGCACGAGAGCCAGCTTGGGCCGGCTCCTGCTGCACTCCACGCCTCTGGGTCGTGCCAGCTAGCCAATTCCACCACTGGCTCGCGTCGGCTGTGAGCTAGTACTTTTTACAGACTTGAAAAAGCAGTTCAAGGTGTTTGTGGGTACACAGTAAAAATAGGTATTGAATCAAGATGGGGTATAGGAAAAGGTACCACTTTTATTTTCGATATCTGCAACGTAAGAAGTTGCAATTTGACAAGAGCCATTTCCAAAAATACTTTTAAACCTAACCCTGCCCCCACCAATGGTGCACATCATTAGCAGTTCTGAACAAGTAGCTTCAAGTGTAAAACAAAGACAGACAAACCAGGCATTAATACATTTCAGCTGTGGGGTCAACTCGTGGAACAAATTTAGGAACACTTGGGGGAGGCATTTCGGACCCAAAATGGATGGAAAGTGTTTGGGCCATTTCACAGCTAGACACTTGAATTTGTATTTCACGATCAACATTGCGTTTTGACAGTCTCGACACCACAGGATTGTGTACACAATGGATTAATGCAAAGTGTTACTTTTATACATAAAGCTGTTTGTACCAATTGGTTGCAAATGGCTTAAAAATTGCAAAGTATCAGTTAGCAAATTTAAGACTCTTCAAATTGTGCAATTAAGTGCAGAAAAGTTGTAAGTGGCATTCAAACGTTCATGTGGTGCATATTTAAGTGGTCGTCTTCGAGTGTACAGGTTAAGTAGAGGTAGATTCTGAAAAACAGCGAAGAATGGTTAGGGAACAAAAATTAAAAGGAAATCTGGGGAATGTGCAACGTGACTCGAATGCCACCTTTCATAATTTACGTGGTGATAGAATGCTCGGTATAAAAATTGCCCCCATAATTACCGACAGAGGTGACCAATCCTGCACGCCATGCATTGGCCCTAGCTTTGGCTGTATGGCAAACATTTTTTGCTCTACCATTGAAGAAAACCTTTCCATTTTTACCATGGATGTCACTTGACCCGACTTTACTATGTCGAGTCTCAGGTGAACAGGCCCATGACTGGTTGAGAAACAATGGAGCCGACAAAGTGTTCGTTTTACGTCGTCGAAATACAAGAAATTGCCAAGCTTAAAATGCAACATCTTTAAAATGCAGCCAGCATAAAGATAATTAAATTACTCATGGTCAACTTTAATGTGTGTTGTACAAAAAACACACCAGCACCCTCAAAGTTAAAAGCAAACATTGTTGTAATAAACAATTGTAATGTCAGAAAACACAATTTGGAAATTATATTTGAGATGTACATACCACTGCAAACGACACCAGCATCTTCACCATGAACGCAGTTGTGTTGCCCCCATGGCAGATGAGGACAATTTCCTAAAGAGGACTCGGATCCAATGCATGTCACATCATCCAACAAGATGGCACCAATGCCCTGACCAAAATAGGCATTCGATTGGGCAGAAAGAGCAGCTCCACAGCCGACCTTTCGGCAGACAACCTTGGCATCATTGATGTTCCACCCATCATCACAGACCGTGCCCCAGGAGCCAGCATAGAGGACCTCCACCCTGCCTTGACATGGGTTTCTTCCTCCAATCAGGCGAATTGCTGATTCTGGGAGTGATTGTTGCAAGTCAAAAGTTTCAGATATAAAATCAAATGCTATCATTCGGAATCAAACTTTCATTCCAGGATGTATCAATTACAAATTCTAAACTCACCAATCTGTTGAGATGTCGGCTGGCTTTTAGTGGGCGATGAGCTTGTTTGAGCTGCAACCAATAAAGCGAATGTTAAAACGGCGTTTGCCTTTATCCGTGACAAGGACAGTGAACCACGCACAATAAACTGTCATTGCAATGCGACCTTTTAAGACACAAATTAGCACTTGAAGTTAAAATGAAACATTTTGAGATGTACACACCACTGCAAATGACACCAGCATCTTCACCATGAACGCAGTTGTGTTGCCCCCATGGCAGATGAGGACAATTTCCTAAAGAGGACTCGGATCCAATGCATGTCACATCATCCAACAAGATGGCGCCAATGCCCTGACCAAAGTAGGCATTTGATGGGGCAGAAAGAGCAGCTCCACAGCCGACCTTTCGGCAGACAACCTGGGCATCATCGATGTTCCAGTAATCATCACAAACCGTTCCCCAGGAGCCAGCATAAAGGACCTCCACTCTGCCTTGACATGGGCCTACTCCTCCAACCAGGCGAATGGCCGTCTCTGTGAATTAAAGAAATGTACACCGAATAAATTGGCAAGCTTTAATATAGACTAATGTGAGATCATAATCGGGTTTTTCCACTTTTTCCTGCAACAAAACCGAATCCTTGTAAAAAGACTTCAGTTTATTTGGAGAAAAAAGGGGGAAACCGTATCATATGTTGGTACTGGCAAAGGTCTCATGATTTAAATGAGCCATCATGTTCATGCTTTCCTAACTTAGATGATTTGAAAAGTAATTTTTTTAAACGTAGTTATGCGTATTTAGAGAAACCTCCATTTAAAAAACGTATGAATTTGCATCTCCATTTCTTGACAAATTGATACTCACCCGGGGGTTGAGTTGTTGGCTGCCTTGTAGTGGTTGATGTACTTGTTTGAGCTGTAACCAATTAAGTTCTCACTTTAAAAATGGTATTGAATTGAGACAAGTCAAGATACTGCATTAACTTTTGTAAATAAAACAGCAAACCACCATTTCATATTAGAAAATAACATTTGGAACTATTAAAACATATTTTGAGATGTACACACCGCTGCAAATGACGCTAGCATCTTCACTGTGGCTACAGTCATGCTGTCCCCATGGGCGATGAGAACATGATCCCAGAAAGGATTCAGAACCATTGCATCCGACATCATCCAGCCAGATGGTGCCAATGCCTTGACCAAAGTAGGCATTTGATGGGGCAGAAAGAGCAGCTCCACAGCCGACCTTTCGGCAGACAACCTGGGCATCATTGATGTTCCAGTAATCATCACAGACCGTGCCCCAGGAGCCAGCATAGAGGACCTCCACTCTGCCTTGACATGGGCCTCCTCCAACCAGGCGAATCGCTGATTCTGGAGAGATGTGATTGTAAAAAGCCAATGGTTTATTATAGTAAATCACATATGCTACCATTTGGAATCAAATTTTGAATGCAGGACGTATCAATTTTACATCAATTACAAATTCGAAACTCACCAATCGGTTGAGAGGTCGGCTGGCTTGTGGTAGGTGATGAGCGTGTTTGAGCTGCAACCAATAAAGTGAATGTTAAAACGTTTTTTTTTTACCCGAGGCCCAGACAGTGCAACATAATTATCTGTTAATGTAATAAACAGTATAGACGCATGAGCACGGCATGTTTAAATAAAAAATTTGAGATGTACACACCACTGCAAATGACACCAGCATCTTCACCATGAACGCAGTTGTGTTGCCCCCATGGCAGATGAGGACAAGTTCCTAAAGAGGACTCGGATCCATTGCATGTCACATCATCCAACAAGATGGCGCCAATGCCCTGACCAAAGTAGGCATTTGATGGGGCAGAAAGAGCAGCTCCACAGCCGACCTTTCGGCAAACAACCTGGGCATCATTGATGTCCCAGTAATCATCACAGACCGTGCCCCAGGAGCCAGCATAGAGGACCTCCACCCTGCCTTGACATGGGCTTCCTCCTCCAACCAGGCGAATGGCTGTCTCTGTGGATTAAATAAATTTACATTCGTAGTGACAAATGGGTCACTACGGCACCAGTTGCCAGCTACTGACAGGGGAACTGGTAATTTAGTAGCCCTCTGCCAGCAGGGTACACTATGTTATGAAAAGGGTCCCTAGGGGAGCATTGTTCTGGTGGCTGGCAGTGGAGGGCATTTGAGGACGTAGTAGCCAGATTGGCTGGCAAGGGCAAGTGACAGGACAAAGCGAGGAGGTGGGCCATTTAAGGACAAATTTACTCACCAGGTGGTTGAGTTGTTGGCTTGCGTGTAGTAGTTGATGTACTTGTTGGAACTGCAACCCATTAAGATTGCTCGTTTTAGAAAGTGGTATTGGATTGAGTAACTAAGTCTATTGTAGAAACACTATTTCATGCAACAGAAAAACATTACAATTAAATATAAAACTAAAATTAGGACGTTGTATTAATATGTATTTATAATGTACCCACCACTGCAAATGACACCAGCATCTTCACCATGAACACAGTTGTGTTGCCCCCATGGCAGATGAGGACAATTTCCTAAAGAGGACTCGGATCCATTGCATGTCACATCATCCAACAAGATGGTGCCAATGCCCTGACCAAAGAAGGCATTTGATGGGGCAGAAAGAGCAGCTCCACAGCCGACCTTTCGGCAGACAACCAGGGCATCATTTATGTCCCAGTAATCATCACAAACCGTACCCCAGGAGCCATTATAGAGGACCTCCACTCTGCCTTGACATGGGCCAACTCCTCCAACCAGACGAATCGCCGATTCTGGAGATAAAGGGATTGTACAACGTTAATAGGTTATTATAGTACTAGCCTATCCAAGGATGTGTGTATTGCAGTTAATCTGAAATAATGACCCACTCATTATTTATGAGGGGGGGGGGGGAGCTCTGTGGAGTGACACACAGAACAGTCATTATACTGGTAGGAATGAAGTGGACCAGCCTACAACAGATTATATCGTCCGTCCGATGTCGTGTAGCAACATCGCCCCCTACTGAAAACACTTGGCATGACCCTACAAAAACCTTGACTTGAGGCTTTCCTGGCTAAACAAGTGTAACATTCCCTTGTAATTCTCTCAGATGGCTTTTAATTAAAACATTTAAATTAATGAGGCTTTCCTGGCTAAACACGTGTAACATTCCCTTACAATTCCCTGAGATAGCTTTCAATTAAAACAATTAAATAAAAAACACAGCGCCCTAAAGCCTACAGCTAGGCCTAAAGCCTAGAACTAGGCCTCAGTCTCCCTTCGTATCGTACCCGCGTGTGTGAAAGGGAGTTAATGTTTAACAATGTTACATTCCCTGATGTTTTAAAATAGAAACATTTACATTTAAAGTTTACATTAATAATTAAAACATTTAAATTATACATTAATACTTAACATTTAAATTACAAATAAACTCACAGCACCCTAAAGCCTACAGCTAGGCCTAAAGCCTAGAACTAGGCCTCAAAATCTCTCTTCGGATTGTCCGATTAGGTGTAGCAACATCGCCCCCCTACTGCAAACACTTGGCAGGACCCTACAAAAACCTTTACTCAGTGGGGCTTTCCTGGCTAAACAAGTATAATAATACATTATGTTTATATTCTTTGGTTATTCGTTCCTACCAGCCCACCCCGCAGGGTCCTGTTAGTAATAAACTACCAGGAAGTATCTGGCACCATCTAGGGGAAAAATAAATTTCAAAACTTCTAAAAATATAATATACATCCACAAGTAGCAAGCTATTGTGAAAGCCCAGCGTTCCATTTGTCCATAATCAAAATAAGGAGGCTTGAAGTCCTGGAAATCAAAAAGAGCGTTGCAGGCAAATAGTTGATCTGAAAAAGGATTCTTAAAATTGTCGGCCACCTCGCACAATATTTTAACCCCCCCCCCCCCCCGATATATATATACACACACCACACACACAATAGCGAGTAGTGTTTAGTGAATAGAGTAGTATTTACCGACTGTACTATCAACCAACTACTAACGCGACAGTAGTATTATTAACCAACTATCCAGGAGTATCTCCTGACTGTAGTATTTACCAACCATAGTATTGAGTACTAGCTGTAATAGCTATACTAACTGTATAGGAGTGTAATGGTTGTAGTAGCAGGTATACAAACTCAATAATAGGACAATTCTTGACTGCAGGAATTAATAATCTTCAGTTCTTTTGATAAAGGCAACGTAAAAAATAGTGAAATAATAAATGATGGAGAAAATAAATCATGAAACAAAAACCACTAATGTAGACTGTAGCCTGGTTCTTAACCTCAGTGAGCATATTGGCAGTCAAAAATGGGCATTAAATGCTTACTCTGTTTAATAACCATTACTACCAGTCTACATTATAGACTGCCAGTACACTCACTCCGATTAAGAACCAGGCCTAGTCTGCATTAGGGTGTTGCGTTCCATTATTTTTACAATTTTTCTATCTACGTGACTTTACCGAAAGAACCAAAAATATCATACTTTAGATGCCGTGGTGAGGTGTGCAGAGCCCCCTGGCCTCGCCTAGATTGCCCAGCCGGCCAAAGTGGCACCTTGGCAGGCTGTGGTTGGGCTACCCCCCCCCCCACTCTACAGTAATAGTATCTAAGCACTATAACATTGGCATCTCTCGACCCTACCGTAGCAAGTTCAAACATTGGGGTGGTGGGCCATTACACACTTTGAAGAAGTCACTTCAGCGTTGTGTATTTTTTTTTCGCTAAAGGAGTGCGTTGCTAGGGGCAACCACAGCTCTGCTTTGGCTGCGTATGCGTAGTTTGGCACGCGCTGAGCGGCATAAGATAATAAATAGCACTAAAGTGTCAATAACTACTTTAAAGTTAACGGATGCAAAAATGGAATAGCGCTGGCTCACCACAGGGCTTGGTGCATGGTAACTGGGCACTTTAAAAAATGTAAATCCCACGGTTCGCGAGCCAAAGCTTTTGGAAGTTTTGTCCATAGACAAAAAAAATGATGCCTATAGGTAAGATATAAGCACACATGCTATCATTTGGAACCAAACTTTCATTGCAGGACGTAGCAATTCAAAAATCTAAACTCACCAATTGGTTGAGATGTCGGCTGCCTTGTAGTGGGTGATGAGCTTACGTGAGCTGTAACCAATAAAGTGAATGTTAGCGTTTTATTTTTATCCGAGGTCTCGACAGTGCAATATATAATTAACTTCATGACACATGTGCATGTCAAGTTTAAATGAAACATATTTTGAGATGTACACACCACTGCAAATGACACCAGCATCTTCACCATGAACGCAGTTGTGTTGCCCCCATGGCAGGTGAGGACAATTTCCTAAAGAGGACTCGGATCCATTGCATGTCACATCATCCAGCCAGATGGTGCCATTGCCTTGACCAAAGTAGGCATTTGATTGGGCAGAAAGAGCAACTCCACAGCCGACCATGCGGCAGACGACCTGGGCATCATTGATGTTCCAGTAATCATCGCAGACCGTGCCCCAGGAGCCAGCATAGAGGACCTCCACCCTGCCTTGACACGAGCTTCCTCCTCCAACCAGACGAATTGCTGATTCAAGGAAAAAATGTTAATTGCATTAGAATTGCCACCTCACATCCATGAAGAATGTTCATATACGTGATAAAAATGTTGTCATTTGGTTCTCACACGTATTTAACACAGGAAATCCTTGCACATCGCGGTTTTATTTCGATTTAAAGCTTTCATGACTGCAGGGATTCATCTTCTTGGTTCTTTCGGTAAAGTCACGTAGAAGGGAAGTAATAAAATAAAAATAAAAAATAAAATAATTCTCAGTGAGAATTATTAATAAAATAATTCTCACTGAGAAGGGAAGTAAATAATAAAATAATTCTCAGTGAGAATTATTAATAAAATAATTCTCACTGAGAATTATTTTATTATGTTTTATTTTTATTATTTTATTACTTCCCTTCTACGTGACTTTACCAAAAGAACCAAGACGACGACATCGCGGTTTGTCAAAATACGCGTTTCAGCGATACAGTTTACCCAATGAGGTGTCTATTTTGGACCACAATGGTGGTGTTCCGTCTGTTTTCATCTTCGTGCCGACTAGTACTGCATCCGTTTAAAAAGGTGTGAAGGAGATCGATAACGATTAATTTACAAAATGTAAACCACGAATGTGTTTTTTTTCGTGTAATAATGTAACACAAATGGCACTTTGCATCTAGCTGCCCTTCCGTAGAAGACGTTAGTCATTCAGATGGCGAGGTGGTGACCCATGACCGTTCACGTGACACTGTTAGGAACGATCTTCAGGCCGCCAATGGGAAGAGTAATGGAGACGGGTTTTGTTTTGGAGGCGATATTGAAAAATAAAGTATCCACAAGAGACGCGGTATCTTTTAGGATAATAGCAAGGGTGGAAATCTAGGCATTAGTTAAAGATAGAGGGGGGTGGTCATTTTGAGCTTGGTAACAAACCTATTTTTGCTATGAGGTGTATTATTTGTCGAACACGGTTGAGCGACATGTAACCCTCAGCGAGTTCCGACTACATTGCCATTAATCATCAAGCCGTCTTTATTCTTTTCACCGTCTTGGTTTTACTTTTCGTTTTTGATCGCGTAAATATTAATGTGGCCAGACCATCACGAGTCATCCACATTTCAGAGGGTTACACGAGTTTACCGAAAGAACCAAAGGAGTAGACCTAATTAGGATAATCTTTTGAAATGATAAAAATAATATTTTAACCGCCGGTGGTGATTAAATTCAAGCAGCCAACAGGTTTTGCGATTTTTTTTTGCACCAAAAACGGCCAGATGTGCGTGCATGTGCAACACACATGCAAGTTATGGCAATTAACTGTAGATAACTCAACCAATAAAAGAGATCAATTGTAAGTTATCCGAATACATTAACGCCCCGCCTCTTCTCTTCACACGCAATTGGCTCACAAGTTATCCGAATACATTAACGCCCCGCCTCTTCTCTTCACACGCAATTGGCTCACAAGTGACACCACATGCATCCTTCCGTTTAGGACCGAAACAAGATTTCTCCACAATGCTGGCTGTCGCCTGATGAGGCTGGTTGTAATTACCAACGAAACTATTTAAAATAGTAAATGTGGGTTTATTTGCAATACCGGTTTGCGGAACTAGTAACACATTGTCTTGTTTACGTAACAAACCTCACGAATTCGTTGCCAGGTGGTGGGTTTAACAAAACCCATTTATATTTACATGACTGCAGGAATTCATATTCTTTGAGTGTTTCGGTAAAGTCACGTAGACTGCACGAAACAAAAAAATATATATTTACGCAATCTAACCAGAAAACATGTATACTTTTAGGGAGGTATAGAGTGTTATACTGGTAGGAACGAAGTGAACCAGCCTACAATAGATTATATCGTCTGTCCGATGCCCCCTACTGCAAACACTTGGCAGGACCCTACAAAAACCTTTAGACTCAGTGAGGCTTTCCTGGCTAAACAAGTGTAACATTCACTCATAATTCCGAGATGTTTTTAATTAAAACATTTACATTAAAAATTAACTCACAGCGGCCTAAAGCCTACAGCTAGGCCTAAAGCCTAGAACTAGGCCTCAAACTCTCCCTTCGTATCGTACCCGCCATTTAATTTTATTATAGCCATTCATTTGTTCCTAGTAGCCCACCCCGCAGGGACCTGTTTCATATTTGAGCAAGGGTCACGCAAGGAAACTTTGAACAAATGAATCCACGACAGACAGTGCATAGCCAGGCACAGGAAAGCATGGGATTGGTTGAAGACTTGGCTAAAGCGATTTGGTGGGAAACAGAAAATGAGGGGAGAGAGACCAATGGACATGATTGGTGGAAAGGATGAAGATTAGAAGGACCTCCCAGAATTTTCCAGAAGGAACGAGGAGGTTGTACAAAGGGGGTGTGACGTGTGATCAGCGCGTTTTCGCTGGGGGAGCGAGCTACCACAAGAGTATGCATCGTGTTGCATGGAACACAGTTATCAAGAAGACTCATCTGGACAGCCCTTTAATATGTAACAGAGTTGTATATTGATAAAATCTGACTAATCTTTAATATGCATACGTTTACATAACATGCATATCCTTGCAAATTGTAATCTTGTATGTTGAACTTCTTTTCGAACCGTACGTAGCCAACCGTGCAAATTGGAGGCGCAGGGGACGGAAAACAAACATCTGTTCTAAATACGTTCTTAATCTGTTGTCAAAGTGCATGTCAAAATCTGATCCGAGCATGGATCCAAGGACAAAACAGTGTTACCGCTTTCTGTAATGTTGTGAATTCTTTGTACATGGTTTTAGGATTTCTATATTTCAGCCGTAAAAAGGTATGGATTTGGGATACCTTGTCCCGTGAAATCTAGCGGCCTTATGAGTGCTGTTTAGAGCGTGAATTGCACATTCTTTCAGAGTGGTCGGATTGTATCATCATACCTTGCTGAGCCGTCACAGCCTGGATCGTGAGGACGAGGAGAAAAATGACACCAGACATGATGCCCTGGTTTTACTCGCACCTTGGTTTAAACAAAGACAAAGACCTTCCAGTGAAGCCTTCAGACTGTTGGGGCAAGCACTGTTACAGAGCACCTACAAAGTCTGACACGGCACAAGAGGGCTGATGGCCACCCCACCAGATTCTCATGAGACAGAGTCGATCGATGCAAGCCCAGAACCAGATCAGATATCAGTCACTGATGTGCGTGTCTATCTACACGATTAACAAATTCATAATTATTATTTTAGTTATTGAGAGAAGTACGTTAACTAAAAAAATCACATTCGACAAAATAGCATTTACCGTTTTCCCCCGCATAGAACCTGCAAAAATAGCTTTTTGTGTAAAACAAATCCGAGATAGCTCGCACGCATTCTTATATTTAACGTCGTTACCGCAGCTTAATTCCATCATTAATACGAAGTTTACATGTGTAATACATTCCACTATCAATTGTTAACGTTAAAATAATAAAGTGCACAAAGAAAACCAACCGGAAACGAGCATTTTTAAAACAGTTAATAAGTAGAAAAAATATACACAATAAATATTGTATATACAATAAAGAAAAAACACGTATTTGGTAGATAAGCAAGTACAGATTTAGCACTGGTAGATTGCGCACTGCACAGACACTAGCGGCACTACGGCAACGCCATTGCCTCGCCCCCAACCCCCCCACCTCTCCCGTCGCCATTAAACAAAGTGCGTCGACTTCAAACAATTGTCGTTTCATTGTACAAACAATTCGAATAATTTAAAACGCGATAATGTGCAATTTTAGTGCGAGTGGTTTATTCAGCAGCGCTTTAGTCAAAGGTAAGTGTTGCATAGGTGGATCGTCCAACAATGAAAGCATTAAAACGCTAAATATTTCTGGGATAGCCCTGCACCTCCATATACCCCGCAGGGTCTTGTTTGTATAAAAGTGGTCTACCCCACGGGTTATATGCGGGAAAATACGGTAATCGATCCAATGATAAAATGAGATTCAAACTACCATGGTTGTCATAAAGCCAGGAAACCGGAAACCACTTGGGCTATCGAAGTGTTAATTTAAAATGGCAAGAGGTAGGAGTGGGAAAAAAAATGCACACTTTTGGATATCGACATCTCAGAACAAACTATGAATGATTAACTATTGATGCCAAATGATTTGTTCGTGGCTTGAGCTTCAAGTCAGGTAGATTACCTTAAACTGCATTGAAAAGCATAAATATTCTTTTCACCATCCTCGCTTAATTTTTATGTACAATGAACACGATTGAATTTATTAAATGCTTAAATTTTACTTAGAATAGGGCTTTATGGACTGCATTGAATTCTATACCATTCACTATCATAATGTATTTGTACTGCACAGGTTGACAAGGTGTTAGCAAAGCAGTTACGGAATTTCCTGAGGAGGAAATAGTCAGACCTTTCACGTCTATACAAAGGACATTGTAAGTTGATACGAGAGAAAAGGAGTAATCACTCAAGGTAAAGGCGATAGAAATACAAGGAGGTAACAATGCCTTTCAAATTTTAAATGGTCACTCATTTCGTACACAAAATACTTCGCAAAAATAAAGTCGAGTCAAAAGACGTTCTCACCAGCCTTTGTTGCTTGTATATATATATATGTGACACACACACCAAGAGCATGAGGCACACATGGGTATTGCAAATTTAACACATTTGAAAAACTACGTTTGTTTAAAACGGTGCCACTTTGTGCCGAGGCGATTCTTTAAGGCTTTGTTGAAGTAAAAATGTAGGAAATGCCCTTCGAGTGTATAATAATTATAATCATAGCTCGGATGCACTTTTAACGCAAAAACAAGTGGACAATAGGGATAAATAGCTCGGTACAAAAATGTGAAAAAGCCCATTTCTCCCCTCCCATGTACGCAAGTTACTTCATTACGTGCTGCATTATGTCAAGGAACTAGCATCTGGTTTACTGTACGATACACATGCAGCAGATTATACAGCCCAATAAGGTGCACGTTTGGTGCCAACAAAACAGCATGGCAACCCATAACACGTAACGTTTTTCGTGATGCACATTTTAAACGGTAAAGACTAAAAACTAGATCGAATTATAGACAGTGCCACATTCCACCCACACAAGCTCAACGTCAACATAAATGACCGCAATCGGCTTCTTTTTGTTAAGAGGAAGCCCTAAAAAAATCTTACCTACCGCAATACCAGCACCCTAACACCACCGCCTTTCTTTCCAGCAACGATAGTGGCTAGCAGGGAACCTGTTCTCTTATAGCGGTTTGTGTCGACCTCGTTATACGGGAATTGGCTTCTAAGCGAGTGACCTGCGATTGACTCGTGCAATTAGTCCTGCAGAGAAGAGGCACGCGGTCTGATTGCAGTCACTTCATATGCATTGTCTTCATTTGAGCAGGCGTGAAAGCTTTGTTCAACATCAATCAACGACTAATTCCTCGTGAGCCAGAATGTATCGCGTGGTCTGATTGTATTTCATGAACGTTTATTACATGGACATGCAGGCTTTGTTTTAATAAAACTACAGAAATTTTGTCCAGATGTTATCCTAAAATAAGCACGTGGTCCGAAATTCGTTTGATGTTTATATTAACAGAGATAATGTCTTTAGAATAGGTTCTTTGAGCCTTAATGAGGACGTGGTCTGACCTAATTTATGGTGGTTGGTGTAGAATTATAATCTTCTTCCTTAAAAGTCCGACATCCAGACGTATTCACTCACGTTGTATTTACACTTTATTTCAGCTCGTGGCATCCACGGCACGCGATCTTGGGGGCCGTTATTAATCAGACAATTTATATTATAATTAAAACAGTAACATGTAATTTGTTTTAAATCTACAGCGTTTTTTTGTTTAAGACATCTATGTGTGAGGTTTATTTTATGTTTTAGATATTTTTTTATCGCCTTGCGTTTCATGTTGATATTTGGGTCCATGTGTTTTCGGTTTAATTGTGACTGCAGTATACAGTAGACCGATTCGTGTTTAACTGTGTTGCGAAATAAACTTCCAACGTTTATTGTCAGACTGAACCTGGTTATCTTAATCTGACGTTTATCGATGGCACGTCTCTTACACGGGTCAGTAAATGCGATTATTACGACTGCATTGCTGCGCTCCATACAAACATATTTTCTTTAGTTTTCGTCGTTTTAAATTCAGATCTCCCCCTGAATTGGAGACCTAGTCTTAACGGGCTAAATAAAATAAAAAACGATTGTTTTTGCTCTATTGTACTGCATTTACTGCCCAATTCCTTGTCCCGGGTACAATACAGTACTTAATTGGGCAAGGCGCAGCAATTGTCGCCCTCTACCGGGACAACTTGGCAGGGCCCTCGAGACAATGTTGTGACATTCTGAGTCGATACACCTGTTGTAATAGGCGTAGTGGTGACAACGGATCGTGCTGCATTGACCCAATTTGAGGCCAATTTGGAGCCCATTTGTATAGTTTGCAGGGTGTTTTTTGTTCTTCCAGGTCTCTGTTTTAAAACTATCAATGGTGTGTCTCGATGAGTCCTGAATTTAAGGTACTCTGCTGTCAACATTTATCTGTCCAAATGCTTTTTTCAACCCATTCTTAAAGGAGTTTCAACCCCACCATTTTGTTTTATAAGTTTTTATTATTAAAAGGAATAATTGACAGCCCGTTTTTAATCCACGCTTAGTCGGCCCACAACTGTTCAGCTACCACTCGGATCACTGGGTCTACATAGCACTGGGCTGACCGCTCACCTCCATCCAGTCTTTGGCAACCCACCGTTGAAATGCACATAAAATTTAGTTCCACGCTGCACGCACCCGATGATTACTAAACACGCCTCATCGTAGTTAATCGGATGCGACGATCTCCAGATCTGAGCTGTTCACAACCTCAGCATAACACCCGCTCGATGGCATCTTGAACGAAATGTTAACTAATTTAAATACTGTGATATTTACTCTCCAACAAACACCTGCGGCACTGAAGCAGTGATACAAGTTCCACGTTAGATTCTCGGGACACTTTTATGAATTGGCTGCGCCGGGTGGAGGAGGGTTTACGACACAGCAGGTTGACACGACGGTACCCAAACGAAACCGATTGCCAATCGTAATGTTGGTCGTGACAGCCTACGTATAAAATTGGTCACATCTACGACTACTACTACTCCCATATTAGCATACCTGTGAACCCATACGGTTTACTTGTGTTCTTGTACAGGCAAATTTAGTTTTAAGGTCCATACGGCGTACAGCCATTTCAATACGGGCAAAATAATGTTTTGGTGTATTTGTGTTTCTCCCTTGTGATGGAACTTTGTAGGATGAACGTTGACATTTATAATGGTACGGAATGACCAAAAAGGTCTGAATTGGTCTGTAATAATCTTAACTTAAAGATTTCGTGACTGTAGGAATTCATATTCTTGGGTCTTTCGGTAAAGTCACGTAGATATGTCACATATACGACCCTTGACTTCGTAGTTTTTTGTTATTAAATCCTTTATATAAAGTTCGCTTGCTTGCTTAGGACCGTGCAAATCTTTCGGTCGTTTTTTAACCCACTTCCCGTGATCCAATCGAGCTGACATTTTCCACACAGACTCGTTGTGCGTGACAATTAATGTTCGTGAAATTTTTTTTCCAAAATTTGACACTTTTTAGGACAAAAATATTGTATTTAATTACCAATTGCTTAATGGTGCAATGCAATCATCTGACCCATAGGTGGCAGCCATCTCAAGCCAGAGAACGAGAGGACTCTAGCCGCCACGCATATAAAGGATTTATAGTGAAAAACTTTGTTTTTACGGGTTATACTTATTTTTGTTATTTTCTTTGAACTTATCTACGTGACTTTACCGAAATACCCAAGAATATGGTCTGTAATAAGATAGGGCACTGATAAGGGTTTGACAGGTATGTATTAGTCTTCAATTGCATGAAACGCATGATTAACAAACTCGCTTCACAGAATTGACGTAAACATTTTGAAAACGATGTACAGCGTTGCCTATAAGTTGTACGCTTTGGTGAAATACTGCGTTGCTTGGGCTGAATGACTGCGGTCTTGGCGTGGGCAGGGGGGGGGGCCTCGCTGCAATCATTCATTGTTTTGCTCAAAAAAACGAGTACTGTAAAAACCCAGTCATAGATTTATTCACAGATCCAATCAAATATGTATTTAGTCATTTCTGGTTTCAATTGAGATCCATCCCATTTTTAACTCACTTATCCTTCGCCATTCCCAAGTCAAGGGTCGTATATACTGACCCAGTAGCATATCTTGAATTGTAAGCATCATTTTCAATTTTCAGTGACCAAGAATGAGTAAAAAGTTGGAGACCACTGCTCTATATAAGAACGGGAGACACAGGAGAACCTCACCATTCTGGCGAATTGCCCGATGATGCTGGTTGCAATTACCAGCGAAACGTCGTACTCAAATTGTAAATGTTGTGGCTTCAACACACCGGTGGGCTAAAGCAGTGAACTATTTGTCTTTGTCAACGTGACACTTTTTTTACTGATTGGCCGTGTCGGGTGGTGGAGGGTTACGACACATTTATAAATAAACGCGATCTAAACCCAAAAACGTTGATTATGAAGACCACGTTTATTTCGAAAGCATTCTGGCTGGAGACCAGTGAATTGGTGGTGGTATGGGGGGCTATGGGCTTGCGGCAGTGCATGCAAGCTGTGCGTGATCGCCGTGGGGAGGGAAAGCCAGCCGAGCCCAGCCAGCCGAGGTTCCTCCTCTTCTTGCCCGTGACAAATGTCCACATTGACGCTAACTACTTACCAAGCCCGCTGCCGCAAGCCGCATTCTACACGCATGGCACGCACGCACACACGCGTCATGCGACACAAGCGTGGCAAGTTACTGCGTTTGTGTAAACACAAATAGAAGATACAAATAACATTAGCTTCCGACCGTCAAACGCATCGTTTTGTGAGTTGAGCAATATTCTTAAAGGACCCTTGGACTCGTTCCCTATAGTCGGGTAGCTGGTTAAACGACATCAATTAATCGCACAGTCAAATAAGCTCAAATGTGGGGCAATTTGTTTTGTTCAATTTATACAAGCCGCGGTGGTGTATGTGAAGTTACCCGTTCACGTTTCCTGCCTTTAAAGCAGCCTTTAAAACAGGCATGGGGAACCTTGTGTTTCTGCCAAGGGCCATTTGGATATTGTTTATAACATTATTCGCGGGCCATACAAAATTATCAACTTAAAAATTAGCCCGTCATATTTGGTCAAACATTTCATTAACTCGCCCCTAATGCGATGGCTGGAACTGCTTCTCTTTGGCGAGCCGTGTGGTGTGATGTTAGCTGGCTATTGATGATGTTGTTGTTGTTGCTACTCGCAACTGCTTTTCAAAGTTTGCTCTTGAAATTTATTGAATTTCGAGTCCCGACTGCGGTCGCTTTGGCAGGGCCAGACCCACATTATTTCGTGGGCCTCATACGGCCCGCGGGCCGGACGTGCCCTCCCCCCCCACCCCAAGGGGCATGCGGCCGTGCCTTCGAATAAAATGCACCACCACCACCCCCTCCTCCTCTTTCTTCCATTCCCTTGAGAGGAGGAGGAGTGGCTGGGGTTGGGCGTGGGGACGTGAACCTCCTCCTCCTCCTCTCGCCGAGTGATGCTTCTTCATCTCAGGATTGCATCATCCTGAAGACGGAGGCTTGGCAAAGACTCGCGCGATACGGACGAACGTACTTGGTGGGTAAGGTGGCACGTTTTTTTTAAATATTTAACATAACCCTTCTTTGTTTTATCAGCGCCTGCGATTTTGTGCGTTGCGGCTCGAACTGTGAAACTGTGGTGCTAAATAAAGAAGCAAACGATGCATGCTAATCATGTGTCCGATCAAGTTGAAGGCGCAGTAGTGTTTACACGGCGTTGGTTCAAGCGAGACAACTCCAAAATTGTGGGATTGATTCAAGCAAGGCTTGACTGCTGATGAGACACTGGATGTTGAACCCGCTCGGGTCAACGCTGTTGTTGTTATGCACCGCCAACAAGGCCGTGAGGCCTTTGCGTTGTACACATTGGGGATTATTTTTTGCTCTTGCAGAGACAGATATATGAAGGCGACTTTCTGCTATAGTTTTTTTTTACTATAATACAACGAGATGAATGCTTTGTTTGATAGATGTGTACGAGTTAATGAAAATTCGTGATATTGCATTCAAATGGTGTATTGTGTATATACAGTATTTCTGGGGAGAGGAGGGGGGGTGAGAGTTAGCGTGTCTATTGTGGGGTTTGTCATCGCTACACCATGTCAGTTCAAAGTATTTTTAGTCATGGGCCAGAGAAGCCAAGACCTAATATTGACTTCAGTGGTGTTGAGAAGATGATAGGGGGTGGAGCCCCCCCCCCCTCCTCCACCCACATTTGCCTCCACTCCCTATCAAGCGGGCAGCCCCAGAGTGAACACTGTCACGATTTGCTGTGTTGCATAGCCTCTGTTTACTAATTAAAGGCAAGTTGATCTCAACAGGACCGAGGACTGGGAGGGAGACATTACTGCTCTGGGCTCCAACTAGAAGACAACCAGAACAAATACTTTGCAGCGTTTGGATTGCCCTATCACCTTGAAACGCCAAAGGATATGTCCGTTCAGTTCGTCGTTTTAAACATCTGCAAGTATGGCAGGGCACCAGCAAAGAACTTGCTGCTGAAAGTGGAAAAGGGCAAGGAAGCAAGACATAGTTTTCCTCTGCGCTTACACTTCACTTCACCGAGGACGGTTTTGTGGGACAATTTTGGTGCCTGGAACATTGGGGATGAGGTCATTCTTCCTTCTGCTGAAATCATGGCCAGAAAGGTACATAAATGCAGTAAAGCGGTTTAAATTGTGAGATTGATGCATATATAGTGCTCGGTCAATGTTTTATAATAATGCTTGTTTGCAAGGTTCAGTGCTTTTGAATGCTGTTATTTGATGCAATTTTAAGAAGCATATTAGGCTATATAATGCAAAATGTATTATTTATTAATCATTATGGTTGCTGTATTAAAATGGACGCTGTGTAAATTGCAAATTTGTTATGAAACGAAACGATGATCTTGGACCTTATGAAGCGAATTCGCTTACGAACAAGTGGAACAAATGGGGAAGCGCAATCAGGGGCATGTGTCTGCTGGCTGTGGCTTTTTGCAGTCAAGGTACCGACCACATGTGAGAAACGTGGGTTGCACAAGCCAGACAGGCGTACGATCGACCAACGAGGACCGCTATGCCTTGTCAGAGGTCTCCAACAATGTGCTCTGCTTGGCTGTGTTTGATGGGCATGGAGGTCCCGCAGCTGCCAATTTCTGCAGCAAATACATGGCCAAACACCTCCGGTGAGTACTTTCCTCCACAGGCATATACATGAGGGGTTTGTACCTACCATGAGGCTTGCAGAACCCACGTCCTTATTTATAGAGTTCGCTGGTTGACAGCATCAGAGCTATTCATGGTAAGGTCATATTGCACGAGGTATCCGAAGCTGCTGACCAATGTAAACACTGTGCCATTAATAGGGGCACAGAAGATAGGCTTTCAAATACACAACGTTGTATTGTACATTTGTTAAATCTGTGTATCTGCTGGACATTACTCAAGCAATTAAACATGGAGTGAGAGGGTGTTTAATGATGGCGTACATCAAAATGCCAATAGTGCCACCATGTGGAATTAACCAGAACCTATCTAACATGTTATATATTCACGAAATAAATAAAGCATGGTGTTACAGATATGAACTGCACTACAAGAATTTAGTAACTATTGATATTACAAGTAATTGACTTAGTAAGCATGAAGCTAATGAAGAGTGTATGTTTAATTACAAGTGTATGCCGTGCTGCGCTATGACCCGAGTTCGATTCCTGCTCATGGCCAACACCAGTGACAACTATCTGACCTGGTTCTGGGCTTCTAGGTTGATTCAGCCTCAAATGAATACCTGGTGCGGTGTATAAGCATCGCCACTGGGGAGACAAAGGCGGCCTAGCATGGTGCCGACTACCCACACCCTTGTGCCGTGCTGGCCTTCATAGGTGCTCCCCAACAGCACTTGTCCCTACAGTATGTTAAGGCAATACGGAGGATCTTTGTCTTTGTACTGCACATATAATGTATGTGTGTTTAAACATGTATGTTTTCAATTAAATGTGGCATCCTGTTCCCCATTCCCCCCCCCCCCCATCCCAAGGAAGTACCTTCAGAAGGAGGACAACTTGGAGCTGGTTTTGTCTAAGTCCTTTCTGGCGGTTGACCGGGAGTTTACAAGACGTGTGACTCTCTCCCAAGAAGGTGTGGTAATCTAGCACCCTGACTTATTGTTGACGTGTGGCATCGTTAAACTAATTAACTTGTGCTTCATTAGATCGTAATAAACCTTTACAATGTTTATTTCACACCTGAAATTAAGTAGACAACTCGGAATGTAGTGTGTGTAGCAAAAAAAATATCTTGTATAAAGCATTGATTTCATAATTGTTTTGTGAACTTTGTAAACATACAAATAACATGCCATGTTTAAAAAACCTTTATCTTGAAGTAAACTGAAATTACACATGCAAATACACTGAGGAAATATATTAAAGTAGTGTTGCGTTGCTCAATTAGTGCATGACATAACTGGATGGTGTGTGATTTGAGCCATACCAAAAATACCTGAACAGAAATAAAATCCAAGCAAAATCGTAAAGTTATCTTTATTTAAACCAGGTGTAATCCCATTGCAATGTTAGTATATTTAACGAAGTTAAACCTTAGCTATGTATGTGGGATACATTAATTGAAGCATTTAATGTATTTGAATTTATCTTACGAAAAGAGTTTTAAGTATATTGACAAATTTCACATCAAATGCAATGACATTTGTCTGTGTGCTTAATGCATAGGCATATATATGGAGAGAAAAATAACTTGAGTTTGAGGTCACAAAAATTATTCTTTCAAAATAATATATTTCAAGAGGGGAAAAAAATGCCTTTTGAATAAAACTGATTTTATTTCTAATCAATCTCAGCTACAAAAACGTCCAAACCGTTGCATTCAAGCATGTTTTGAATTTACAAAATACAAGCAATGCTTTGTGTTCTGCACTTTACTTCAATGGTGTGACAAAACTAACATTAACAAAGATGAATGTATACTTTTTGGTTTTTTCGGCAAAGTCACGTAGATAAAAAATTAAAATAAATTAAATCACGAAGTTTCGGAGGCAACACAAGCTTCCGTCTTCAGGTGGAACCATCACAGCAAAATTGCTGTATCAGGTGGATGGTTCCACCTGAAGACGGACGCTTGTGTTGCCTCCGAAACTTCGTGATTTAATGTATTTTAATTTTTTACCTACGTAACTTTACCGAAAAAATCAAAGAGTATGAATCCTTGCAGTCACGAAAACTTCAAATCTAGAAAGATGAATGTCTGAACATGAGAGTGGTCAAGTTCCACATTTATTTTGCTTGAGCCCTGGAGTGTGAACTGCTCACACGACACTTGACGTTAGCTATTTACAAATTTGCTTGGTGTTGAACTGGGATCATGAGCAAAACGATTTGCTCATAAGCAACATCAAAAATATCTTGCAAATGATACGATGCAGTATTTAATGCCAGTTTCAAATACATTAATATTCATTGCATTTAATAAAATCTCTCAAAGCAGCGGTTTATTGCCATAAAAAGAGGCACATTTGTGTTTCCCAGACCCCAGGTGTGTTTAACCTGAAGCAATGTGACTAATTAAGGTTAAACCGTTATGAGGGGTTAATTTATCTGTACGTCTTCCACATTGTGATTTACGCAAATACATGGGTTCCTTGTGCCCTATCATTCCAATTAGATGACTCATTCATGTGGATGGCTCGCAGAACCTAGCATAGAAATTTAGTGTTAATGTATAGTGTAATTGTGAACATTTGCTATGGCTGTGTGTGTGTGCCTACAACATGCTTCCCATTTGCTCACTGCAGAATGGCTGTGAGAAGCAGCCTCAGGCTACAGTCCTGATTCGAGGTTTCCTGGACCTCTGGTAACAGACAGTTTGGGTTGTCTCCTCATATTTTCATTTTCTTAAAAATAATTAATGTACGATTGTCTGTACATGAATTAATCCTTGCTTTGTAATATTTTGCTCGGTGGAACTAATGCTGATCAGTTTGTTTTTTACTTAATTTTGTTAAAATTATCTCTACAGTACATTATACTTTTTTAAATATTGTGATTAATAACGTATAAAACCTAGATACACGATGCAATAGTGAACTGATCCTATCAAGGGTTATCGATTATATCAAGGTAAAATGTTTCAATGTTTTACCAAATTGAGTGGGAGTTATAATTTTTTTAAATTGGTTAACATTTATCTAATCGGTAAGTTAGAACCACATGACCACGTCGATAGCCTTACTAGAAAGACAGGGCAGCGACACAGTGAACAAGGAGTCACTAACCAACCACAGAGAGGGTAGCTCACGCCTTTACGACTACCACAATTATATGACTACCGCAACAAATATATGAATACTACTGAAACTACGACGAACACAACCACATACATAATGATGTGGGATGCTTGAATTTTGATGGTAAAAATATATAGACCTATTTATATTTACAGAGATTCGTAGTTAGCGCTAGGTAGTTTTGCCCTTGATTGCATAGTATTGCATAGTATTTTACCTTGGACAATGTCTTCAATGGAGTGCAATCTGGTGCAGTCTGATAGAACCCACATTGCATCGTGTATCATATCATTTGAATCTGGATTTTTTTTTGTCTTTCAAACGTTGAAAGGAATTCACTAATGTATGAACTTTATACTCAATACAGTTAATTTCTTCAACCTGTACTTAAAGTTTCCTCCAACATAAAAAAATGGCATCCATAAATGTGTGCCAGTGAGCAACTACTTGGTCTATAAACAAGTCTATTTATTTATGATAACACGTTAAGCTTGTTTGAGTGAAATGATAACGCATGTCACTGTGTGTTGGGAAGCATGTGGCTTGTGTGCCTGTCCTTGCAACCCTGTCCTTTGCGCAGTCTCTGCCAGCTCAAGCAGTGCTGTCGCGGTCGGATGCCCTGTGGGGCTGTGTGCCACGGGACAGCTTGGAAGCTCCCCTCGAAGATCTTTGCTCTCACATTGGGCTCTGAGCTGGGCTTAGTAAGCACTGCCGGAAGGCATCGCTACCAGGGGTTCATTTAAAAAGGACATACTGCTGCCCTGTTAATATTGTGGCTGTTCTTCCACTCTTTTTTCCACCCTCGTAGTTCCTATTCTTAGGTTTTTTCGGTAAAGTCACGTAGGTAAAAAATTAAAATTAATAAAAGATACAGAAAGCATGCTGTGACGGTTCCACCTGAAGACGGAAGCTTGTGTTGCCTCCGAAACGTCGTGATTTTAATTTTATTTTTATTTTATTTTTTACTTTTATTAATTTTAATTAGAATTTTTTACCTACGTGACGTTACCGAAAAAACCTAAGAATATGAATCCTTGCAGTCACGAAAGCTTCAAATCTAGAACCTCGTAGTTCCCTTTAGTTATTCCCATGGAGCAGTCCTGAATGGTAGTCATTCGTGGCTTAGTGCAGACAAGTCAGTATGGCCTGTTAACTGAACCCCTGCCCAAGTATGAATCAAACCTGGAAGACAAACGTAGTGTGCAAACAAATGATTGCAGTTCGTAACACAATTTGTTCTTGTGTCCATCATTCTGCAATAATATTTCTTCTCTATATGAGGTATAACAGCGGTGTTTGTAAAACGTACTTAATTATATTTAGATTTCATGTCTAATCACCTAATCCTTGGTAATCAACAATTCTATCACGTGAAACAAACACTGCACCTCAGTGCATACATGCGCCCTTAAAAAAATTGTCTTGGTATACATATTGATATGACAACCACGTTTATAAATGTTAAAAGTGCAATGCTGTATGACTTAATGAATAGGAATGTCCAAACACGAAGTCATGACAAACTTGAGACTTTCAAGCCTGTGGTTGCTATTCCTCCTAGTCCACACGTGGGCCCACAGTAATGCGATGGCAGTTGGCGGATGAGCAGCCGTTGACCTCGCTTTGCTCTATGTCCTTTAGCGGAGCTGCTGAGGAGCGGAACGACGGCCACCGTGGCATTGCTGCGTGACGGCCAGGAGCTGGCAGTGGGCAGCGTGGGTGACAGCCGCGCCGTACTGTGTCGTCGCGGCAAAGCCATGGGGCTGACGGAGGATCACACTGCCCAGCGCAAGGACGAGAGGACTCGGTGAGGGCTACCCACCCAACGCTCGTCACTGCCACCGTTAATTTAATTGTGCCATGCCGGGGGAACCTGATTCACATTGGGATGGTTGTCAGTTAAAATGCTGGTCAAGCTTTGACTTGGCGTCATCATGCTTTTTGGGGGTTGATATATTTATTGCTATTTTGTCATCGGCCAAGAGTGGGTTTCCTATGGAGAGACTGGCTTCTATAAAAATGTCGTGTTTCCTCCAATGATCCAGGACTGCTCATAAACATAAGCAATGACATTATTTGTTTGAATATAGGGGCACACTTGCTTTTAACTGTGTTGTGGAGTGATCATTTATGATCTAAGTCTTTGTATGTATGTTGAACTTCTTTCGTGTACCGTACGCAGCCAAAAATGCTAATCGGAGGTGCGGGGGAAAGACAACAAACTAAACACAAACATAAGATCTTTGGCTATATTTTCCCCTTGTTATTTAATGTACGTATTTTCTTATATTTCTGTGTAACCCTTGCAGGAGCTCCTTAATCCACCTTTCAGTCCCCTTGTGGTGGGCTGTAATGAATCTGGATATTCATTGCTGTGTTGCAACCGAAAGCTAAATGAGGCCAATTTGTAATTTTTTATATTCCTTCTTAAAAGCCCTCTGTTGAAGTACATCACAAACACGTGTTTTGTTTGCAGAGTTAAGGCGTGTGGAGGGTTCGTGACCTGGAGCACCACTGGCCATTCTCGCATCAATGGCACACTGGCCATGACACGCAGCATCGGAGACATTGCTCTCAAGCCCTACGGAGTCATTGCCGACCCTGAGATACAGCAACTGCAGGTACATTGAAAATATGCATCAAATAAGCCCATATGATGAATACAATTCCAAAGTGATGGTGTCTTACATAATATAATACTGGTAGGAACCTTCTGGTTACACCAGCCCACAGCGGATTATTCTGTCCGTCCGTCGTGCATCCAAAAATGGGAGGGGTGGGGCTGGGTGGAGAGGGGCTGGGTGGGGGGGGCTCGGTGGGGAGGGGCTGGGTGGGGAGGGTGGGGAAGGGCTGGGTGGGAGGGGGGCTGGGTGGGGTGGGGCTGGGTGGGGAGGGGAGGGGCTGGTCACCCCGTGGTGCCCTTAAACGTTTAACCTACTCACGCCGGCATGTGCCCGCCCTCACAGTCGGCCATATTTGCGGAATGCACCACGCCGCCGTTGACCCTGGCCATTGACCGAGCAACCCAACGTTCCTACCAGCTCCCTCCGCAGGAATGTGTTTATGTATTTTCTTATATATTATTTTAACCCTTGCAGTAGATCCTTAATACACCTTTGAATAACCTGCGGGTGGGCTGGAATGTGGATATCCATATTGAAACCCATATAGGGAGCATGAAAGTACAGATTAAGTGTCCCCTGATGTGGGGGAAAGCTTTTTAAAAGTGGTCAAACTGAATAGCACTGGATTGTTTGGGTTCAAGCATTTATGTACCTTAAATTTTAGTATCTCATTTCCAGTAAAGTTACATCTATATATATAAAATCGTTCATGTCTGTCTGTCTGTGTGTGTGTGTGTGGACTTTGGCCCATACGCACTTTCATTGGACGGCGGTTGCCCCTGGCAACGGCTAGCCACGCCTTCGCCGCTTTCATTGGCCCTGCCAACGGCTAGCCACGCCTTCGCCACTTTCATAAGCTCCGTATTTAATTAAATAATAGCCATTACACAGTATTGTTGGAGCGCTGAGGGGGGGGGGGAAGGAACGCCACCCGTACCCTGCCTCTTCCAAGCCGACAATTTTAGGCGAGGCCGCAGGCTTTGCACGCTACTAGGCCTCGACACCCACCACGCCACTCTGAGGTAAATTCATCAAAGTTTTTCCTACTCTTCACTACACCCCCACCACAATGTGTGCTATTAATATTACTTTTAAACCCAACGCGCCAACAATCGATTACTTTAATGTTCACCGTACAAATACTCATTAAGCTGGGTGAGCGTACTGCCAGTCTATCATGTACACTGTAGCCTGCTTATTAAGCTCGGTGAGCGTACTGCCACTCTATCATGTACACTCTAGCCTGCTTATGAAGCTGAGTGCGTGTACTGGCAGTCTATAATGTGGACTCTTGCCTGGTTATTATAATCGATTCTTTATATGTTCTTTGTACAAACAGTCATTAAGCTGCTTGAGCGACCCCAGTTCGATTCCAACTCACGCCCACCACCGCTGACGATTATTTGAAACGGACCTGGCCCTCCCCTAGGTCCACTCAGCCTCAAAAGCGTAACTGCTGTCGTGTGTGAACATCGTCACTGGGGAGACAAAGGCGGCGGGGCATCGTGGATCCAAGTCCCGGGCGAAGCCGGGTCATGTGTATGTGTGTTTGTGTTTATGTGTATGTCTGTGTGTCTCTATGTATGTGTGTATGTATGTGTATGTATGTGTTTGTTTAATTCGTGGTTTAGTGGTAATGAATTGAAGGTGGAGGGGTTACCAGCCCCTCACACCCGTCCAGAGCCCCCGTTTAGCCACTGTGGTGGTCACAGACGCCATGAGGGGAGAGGCCAATGGGCATTGGCCCTCCCCCCACAGCAATGTCCACGACAGTGTTGCCCGTCCGGCACCGCGAGGAGGTAGGAGGTTGTGCAGCCCATGGGCTTGTAATTACCAACACGCTCTTCCGGCATCGGCGCATCCACACAACATCATGGATACATGCCGGGTCCAAGCAAGAACATCTGCTGGACTACATAGTGACGGACCAGCGGATGCGAACCCATGTCCTTGACACCAGGACCTACCGTGGAGCTGATCTGTCCTCTGACCATCGACTAGTCATCTGTAAGATGCGCCTGCCTTTCTTCCACTCCGGTGGTGGGTGTACACCCAGGATCCCATTCCAACCAAAAGTGGCCTGGTCTCAGTTAGCTGATGAAAGTTGCAAGCGAGAATGTCATCATCGCTTGCAGCTGGGGTTGGCATCGTCCCCCACTCCACCTGATGTCGAGGGTAAATGGGCGAGGTTTAAGACTGTGACTCATGCAGCTGCAATGGCTGCTTTGGGTACGCGGTCCAGACCTCCCCAGAAACCCTGGCTGACAGAGGAGGTGTTCAGGTTAATTGAGAAAAAGCGACAGGCCCACTCTCATCGCCTACAGCATCCCACGTCAGAGAATGAGGAGGTTTACCGCAGCCTTCGCTCGGAAGTTCGGAGAGCCGTAAGGCGTTGTAAGGATGGGTGGTGGTCGCGGGTTGCTGAGGAGATGGAGTCTGCCTCAGTGGCCCGTGATCACAAATCACTATTTAACTCCATCAAAAAAGTAACCTGCAGCGCCACACCTATTACCATCATTAGAGGAAAAAACGGTGATCCAATCTCCGACCCCCAGGAACAGGTTTGCAGATTTTCTGAGCATTTCTGTGAGGTCCTGGGGGAGGGAAATTCTCTCAGCCAGGAAAACATCATGGCACAAAGTGGGGATAACCCTGCTGAGGCTGCGGTGCCTCAAATATTGGAAGAGGTCACCCCCTGTGAGTGGCTGGCTGAGGTTCCAGCTGTTGAGGAAGTACTGAGGGCGATCCGGAGTCTGAGACCAGGGAAGGCACCGGGCAGAGATGATCTCCCAAGCGAAATGCTGAGGGAGGGTGGCGTTTGTGCACAGACTGCCCTATATGACATCATAACAACAGTCTGGACCACTGGACGGGTTCCGCAGGACTGGAAGGATGCCCTGGTGGTCCCCCTCTTTAAGAAGGGGGACCGCACAGACTGTAACAACTACAGGGGCATCTCACTCCTCAGTGTGCCGGGTAAGGTCCTGGCAAGGATTATTCAACATCGCCTTGCTAGGCACGCTGAGGAGGGGCTTGCGGAGCCCCAATGCGGTTTCAGGAAAGGGCGGTCCTGCACAGATGCCATATTTTCTGTCCGTCTGCTACAGCAGAGGTGTAGGGAATTCCAAAAAGACCTACATCTCTGCTTTATTGACCTGGTCAAGGCCTATGATACCATCAGTAGGACTGGACTCTGGGTTGTTCTTCGTGCTTTCGGAGTCCCTGACCCTCTGCTCACGATCATTAAGGACCTTCATGATGGTGAGCGGGCCCGGGTAAAACTACGTGGCCGGGAGTCGGAGCCTTTCCCTGTACACCTTGGGGTGCGACAGGGATGTCCTCTGGCTCCCACATTATTTAACATCTATTTTGACCGCGTAGTTCGTGAAGCCTTCAATAGCTGTACCGGGGGAATTTCCGTTTGGTACAGATATAATGGGAGGCTGATCGACGCCCGGGTGCGATCAAGGGATGGCTCCCTATTGGTCAACCACGTTATGTATGCCGATGATTTGGTAATAGCTGCTTATTCAGAAGAGGAGTTGGAGGCGCTGTTGCTGAGACTGGAGCGTGCCACTAAGAGGTGGGGCCTTACCATCAGCCCCACCAAAACCAAGCACCTGCCTGGGTATTTTGTACCATCGGACACTCCACCCCCACAACTCCCAATTGGTGATGGGGCAGTTGTGGAGAGAGTGGAGAGTTTCCCATACCTGGGCAGTATGCTTATGACCGGCTCCAGTCTATCAGCAGAGGTCTCACTCCGAATCAGTCGAGCGGCAATATCTTTTCATCGGTTGCGTAACGCTGTGTGGAAGCTACCTGGTCTGTCGCTCCGCACGAAGCTTCAGGTCTTCTCGGCCACGGTCATTCCCTCCCTTCTCTACGCTTGCGAGACGTGGACCCCCCTGGTGGAGCATCTTCGCCGGTTGGAAACATTTAGGCTGGCCTGCCTACGATCCATCCTGGGTTTAACCAGGCTGGATTGTGTGAGGAGCTCACAAATCCTTGAAAGATCTGGGCAAAGTCCCATCAGTGAGCTCCTCCGGCAGGCAAGGCTGCGTTGGCTGGGTCATGTAGCCCGCATGCCCAGCCACCGCATGCCTAAACAGCTTTTGTTCGGCCGGATCGAGGGGGCTAGACGGGCGCGGCACGGGCTGGAGAAGAGATGGAGTGATGTGGTACAGGAGGACGTGGAGCTGAGTGGACTTGCCGATGACTGGTACCAGCGGTGTCAAGATCGGCCTCAGTGGAGGAGGCTCGTGAAGGACGCTACTGGGCAGTTGGAGGCAGTCGCCCTCCAACAACAACGGAGGGCGGAGGAGCGACGCTCACAACAACGAGCGGAGCGCCGGGTGGCTAAAGCACAGCAAGTTGGCACAGTAGGGGGCACAGGTGGTGCATCAGCCAGTCATCTCGGTCATCTCGGTCAGTCGACCAGTGGCACCTGGGTCTGCCCCGTGACCTCCTGCCAGCGGGCTTTCGACACTTCACGTGGCCTCAAGGTGCACTTGGCCTGGCACAAGCATCGTGGTGACGTCACCGCCACTTAGTGGCGAATGGCGGTTGTTGTTGTTGTTGTTGTATGTGTTTGTGTGTATGTGTGTCTGTATGTATGTGGGTTTTTTTTATGTCTTTATGTGTATGTCTGCGTGTCTCTATGTATGTGTGTATGTACGTGTGTGCATGTGTTTGTGTGTATGTATGTGTGTGTCTATGTATGTGTGTGTCTATGTATGTGTGTGTATGTGTGTGTATGTATGTGTGTTATGTGTCTGTCTGTGTCTGCATGTATGTGTGTGTGTATTGTGTATGTGTTTGTGTGCATGTATGTGTGTGTTTGTGTGTATGTGTATGTCTGTGAAAACCGAACTGGATGTGGCACCAACATTACAAGAGACTGAGGAAGCCATTAAACAGCTGAAGAGTGGTAAAGCTGCAGGAGTCGATGGCATCCCTCCTGAAGTATGGAAGAACGGAGGCCCAGCATTGCACACCAAACTCCATGAATTCTTCGTCTGCTGCTGGGAGCAGGGTAAACTCCCTCAAGATCTCAAAGATGCAGTCATCATCACCCTGTACAAGAACAAAGGGGAGAAATCAGACTGTTCCAATTATCGTGGCATAACACTTCTGTCCGTCGCCGGCAAAATCCTCGCAAGAGTACTGCTGAATAGACTGGTACCCGCAATAGCTGAAGATCACCTCCCAGAGACCCAGTGTGGCTTTAGAGCCAACCGGGGAACCACAGACATGGTGTTTGTCCTGAGGCAGATTCAGGAAAAGTGCCGGGAGCAAAACAAAGCACTGTACGTCACCTTTGTGGACCTGACAAAAGCGTTTGACACCGTGAGCAGGCAGGGACTTTGGAAAATCCTGGACAAGCTAGGCTGCCCACCGAAGTTCCTCACCATGATCGTCCAGCTTCATGAAGACCAGCTTGGACAAGTCAGACATAGCAACAATCTCTCGCAGCCCTTCCCTATTGCAAACGGCGTGAAACAGGGCTGTGTTCTTGCTCCCACGCTGTTCACCATTTTGTTCAGCATGATGCTCCAGCAGGTCACAGAGGACCTCGACGACGCTGATGGCGTATACATCCGTTTTCGTCTCGACGGGAGCGTGTTCAACCTGAGGCGTTTGCAGGCCCACACAAAGACCATGAAGCAACTGATCAGGGAGCTGCTTTTTGCTGACGATGCCGCCCTCCTTGCTCATACAGAGGCAGCTATGCAGCGAATTACGTCCTGTTTCGCGAAAACAGCTCAGATCTTCGGCCTTGAAGTCAGCCTGAGGAAGACTGAAGTTCTTCATCAGTCCGCACCCCAGGAGGAGCACCATCCACCAAGCATCTTCATTGAACAAACAGAACTGAAAGCTGTCCACCAGTTCAGCTACTTGGGGTGCGTCATCTCGTCTGATGCCAAGATCGACAACGAAGTCGACAACAGGCTGGCCAAGGCAAACAGTGCATTTGGCAGACTATACAAACGTGTCTGGAACAACAGAAACCTTAAAAGAGCCACAAAGGTGAACGTCTACAAAGCTGTTGTGCTAACCACTCTCCTGTATGGCGCTGAGTCATGGGTCACGTACCGTCGTCACCTGAGTCTCCTCGAGCGTTTCCATCAGCGCTGCCTCCGCACAATCTTCAATATTCACTGGAGTGACTTCGTCGCCAACACTGAAGTCCTCAAGTCAGCGAAGGTCATCAGCATCGAGGCCATGGTCCTCAAGACACAGCTTCGTTGGGCAGGGCACATCGCCAGGATGGAGAACCACCGCTTGCCTAAGATTGTGCTGTATGGGGAACTGTCCTCTGGCCATCGCGACATAGGGGCACCACGAAAGCGATACAAAGACTCCCTGAAGAAGTCCCTCACTGCTTGCTGCATCGATCACCGTCAGTGGGCAACACAAGCAGCTGATCGCAACTCCTGGCGGCACACAGTCCACCAGGCCACCTCCTTCTTCGAAGATACCCGCAGGGCCCGTATGGAGGACAAAAGGAGAAGGAGGAAGAACCGTGATCCCTCAGCACCCATCCCAGATGAGACCTTCACTTGCAGCTGTTGTGGCAGGACCTGCCTGTCCCGCATAGGCCTCTTCAGCCACCAGCGTGCCTGCAGAAGACGTGGATGTCCTTCCTAGATCTTCGTTCGCGAAGCCAAGCCATGATGATGATGATGATGTGTGTTTGTGTGTATGTGTATGTCTGTGTGTATGTGTTTGTGTGTATGTGTGTGTATGTATGTGTGTGTATGTGTTTGTATGTGTTTGTGTGTTTACGCTCGCATTACACAAATGTGTTGCTGGTCTAAGGCGTTCCTCGCACAGCATTGCCGCTTTATTATTTCAGTCGTTTACTGCCTTACGCACCCTGAAAGTCGTGTGTGTCTGCAGCAAGCGCGTGTATGTGTACCTATGGACGCGCGCGCGTGTGTTGTGTAGGGGGAACGGTAGTGTAGTGCTTAGCGTGCTGTCTGTGTCTGTGTGTGTGTGTGTCTGTCTGTGTGTGTCTGCGTGTGTCTGTGTGTGTGTCTGTGTGTGTGCGTGTGTGGTGTGTGGGGAGCGGTAGTGTAGTGCTTAGCGTGCTGTCTGTGTGTCTGTGTGTGTGTGTGTCTGTCTGTGTCTGTCTGTGTGTGTCTGCGTGTGTCTGTGTGTGTGTCTGTGCGTGTGTGGTGTGTGAGGAGCGGTGGGTGTAGTGCTTAACGCTACGCTGCGCTACCAACCCGGCGAACCCAGTTCCATTCCCGCTCACGGCCACCACCGGTGACGATTATTTGAACCTCCCCTAGGTCCACTCAGCCTCAAACGAGTAACTGGTGTGGCGTATTAACATCGGCACTTGGGAGACAAAGGCGGCTGGGCGTGGTAGATCCAAGTCCCGGGCGAAGCCGGGTCATGTGTATGTGTTTATGTGTATGTCTGTGTGTCTGTATGCATGTGTGTATGTATGTGTGTGTATGTGTTTGTGTGTATGTCTGTGTGTGTATGTATGTCGGTTTTGCCGCCGTGGTGGATCCAAGTCCCGGGCGAAGCCGGGTCATGTGTATGTGTGTATGTGTTTATGTGTATGTCTGTGTGTCTGTATGCATGTGTGTATGTATGTGTGTGCATGTGTTTGTGTGTATGTATGTGTGTGTGTATGTATGTGGGTTTTTTTGTATGTGTTTATGTGTATGTCTGCGTGCCTGTATGTATGTGTGTATGTACGTCTGTGGATGTGTTTGTGTGTATGTATGTGTGTGTCTATGTATGTGTGTGTATGTGTTTCTGTGTTTGTATGTGTGTGTATGTATGTGTGTTATGTGTCTGTCTGTGTGTCTGCATGTATGTGTGTGTGTATTGTGTATGTGTTTGTGTGTGTTTGTGTGTTTACGCTCGCATTACACAAATGTATAATGCGGGTCTAAGGCGTTCCTTACACAGCATTGCCGCTTTATTATTTCAGTCGTTTACTGCCGTATGCACCCTGAAAGTCGTGTGTGTCTGCAGCAATGGACGCGCGCGCGTGTGTTGTGTAGGGGGAACGGTAGTGTAGTGCTTAGCGTGCTGCCTGTGTCTGTGTGTGTGTGTCTGTGTGTGTGTGTCTGTGTGTGTGTCTGTGTGTGTGTCTGTGTGTGTGCGTGTGTGGTGTGTGGGGAGCGGTAGTGTAGTGGTTAGCGTGCTGTCTGTGTGTGTGTTTCTGTCTGTGTGTGTCTGCGTGTGTCTGTGTGTGTGTCTGTGTGTGTGTCTGTGCGTGTGTGGTGTGTGAGGAGCGGTGGGTGTAGTGCTTAACGCTACGCTGCGCTACCAACCCGGCAAACCCAGTTCGATTCCCGCTCACGGCCACCACCGGTGACGATTATTTGAACCTCCCCTAGGTCGACTCTGCCTCAAACGAGTAACTTAACTACTGTAGCGTATTAACATCGCCACTGGGGAGACAAAGGCGGCCGGCCGTGGTAGATACAAGTCCCGGGCGAAGCCGGGTAGTACAGCTAGTGTGTTGATAAAATGAATAGTCCGTTTCTGTTATCATTGGGAGGTTATGGAGTATACTTGCCATTGCAGCTGAACCATGAAGATGACAGCTTCCTGGTGCTCACCACTGACGGCATCAACTATATCATGAACAACCAAGAAGTGTGCGATGCAGTGAGCAGTTCGCACACTCCCGAGGAGGCTGCCCACCTCATCACCGATTCAGTATGTGCAGGACACCAATTACAGTGGATATTAGTAGATTGTTTCTCACCTATGAAAAATTTATTTTTGCATAACATTGGATGGAACTGCTGTTTTCTCTCATTGTGACTGTCAAAATGGGCACTTTTTTTGCAATTCTAACCCTGACCATTTTATTACATTGCTTTATTTATGTGCTTGCGTGGCTGAGGCATTTCCCAATAAACGATATCATGTTATGCCCCAGATTACATTTATGTAAATGGTTAAAGCTCGTATCTGTTGCAAAAAACTGAGTAGAGTATCACCTGGAGTTTGTAATTAAGCAGTAGATTACAACAGTACCATCTTTTGCCATTGGAGAGGTGATGCAATTCCAAAAATACATATGCAGTAATTGTTTAAAGCAGCTGCAATTCTTTCCACACATACAGCAGTGCGACAGTAACTTTCCCCATTGTTCCCCTTTTTAACTCTTGTACTTCAAAGCACCCCCTCTGTTAAAATGAAAGTAATACTCGTATAATTTCCTTTGATCATTTTTCAAATGCAGAGCTAACATCTCGAATAGCACATTTCATGTAAAAATGTGCACAGTATATCTTTAACCTTGAAAACCTGTTGGTCTTGACTGCGGGGTGGCGTTAAACTTATCTTCTCTCCCCTTTCTCTTTCGTTTTTTTCTCTCTCCCATTTTTACAACTCCTTCCCCGGTTTCCCCCATTCCTTGTTATTGTGGTTGTTCCGATGGCCTGGGGTTGGGAGTGTATTAACATGTGGCTCCAATGTCGATAGTGGAGTGCATGTAACGTAGTTATTTAATATTTGCAGGGTGTGCGTATTGTTTCTTGATGCCCTTGGATGTAAATAAAATAAAAACGTTGTTAGCCTTTTATAAAAACGCCAGGCATGCCTTGTATAGACTCTTGGACTGTGCATACAGTTATACTGGACTTGTCCTTCACATATCTAGTAGTAAAATACAGCTTCCCTTTGAATATGGCTTTGTTGATGTTGGCAGTTCTTAAAGAGATGCATTCCGTTTGCAGGCACTGCAGTACGGCTCCGACGACAACGCAACGGCTGTGGTTATCTCATTGGGCGCATGGAGGAAATTCATCAAGGTTCAGACACATGCCACGTTCCTCCCTAGAGTTGTCTCTGGTGGGCGCTGGGCATGAAAACAAGAGGCCCACGCTGATTAGCACCATTACAAGCTAAACCAAATCCACATCAAGATGAAATTTCCTTTAAAATACGTGCTTTATAAACTATATTTGAAAAATAAAGCAAAATTAACTATGATATAGCACGAACACATGCTATCTCATAGCTAAGTTTTCCCAAGTACAATCAACAGATTAACCAAAATGTAGTCTATTCTGGGTTTCTGTATGATTTTGTACTTGGAGCAGTGCTTGCTTGATAGGAGTTGACAGTTCAAGGAAGATATTCATCAAACCGTTGGCTTACTGACTTCGCCAAACTTTGGTACTCTGCCTTATGAAACTGCATTACTGAACATCTGTGAAAAATATGCTCATCAGATTTCACCAGAATAAATACAGATTCTGTATTATCATAGATTGTAACCATAAACTTACAAAGCAGAATGCAAGATTACCAAATAAGACCGTTGTGTAGTTTTATTTTTTGCCATTTATTATATCTCAATTCTGTGCATGGTAAAGGTTGCTATTTAAACGTTACCTTGAACAAGGTTCGCTTATTGTGGTACATTAAGTTTTTTGAAAGGGCCACTTACTTCACACTTTGGTGAAACTAGTTTTAAATATAGCATTTGTAAATAATTGCAACATTTGTCCAGAGTATATTTCCAAGCAGTTCAACCTTTTGCTAGTTATCATATTAGAACTCTCTCGGATATTAATTTGGGTGGTGTGATAAGATTTCATAGTTTTAGTTCGTTAAATGTTAATGCAGTGGAACAGTTGGTTAGCGCACTGCACTGTGAACTCGGATACCTGAGTTTGATACCGGGCCATGGTTAACACCAATGGCAAGTGATAACCGATTCAGTAGTTATGGACCCCCCTCCCCCCAACCATTCACCAACAAATCTTGAGAATCTTGACTGACACGAGACTTCATCCAGGAGTGACTTGACAATCGACTATTATTTAGTGTTAAAAAAATGAAAATAATACATACGTACAGGTATGTCTATATACTTCTCTACAGTATCATTTACCAGTTCACCTGGTATCTGCTTTAGTCTGTGTACATTGGTAAGAGGTGTTGCATTGTACATGATGTTCAGCAGCATTGTTGGTCTGAATTTTTATTTTGAATACTGTATATTGTACAATAAACATTTTTACAACCTGTCCCAATATTGTCAATAATTCTGTTTAGCAGGTACTGGTTAATCGTCAGACAAATCAGAATGGCTGAAAATGAAGACCGTTTAATTTTAACTATTGTATCATGGCATCACATTGCTATTAATCAGTTTATTAAGTGCACTGATTAAAGCATCAAGCCACTTGCTATTTTAACACATTCGAGGAATTGTTCTTAGAATCAACCATTTTAATGGTTGTCTGCAGCTCAATTGAAATTAATGTGATTCTAATTGAAATTTATAAAAATTGGCCATCTTTTAAATTTCCCCATTAAAAAATGGCTATCCCACAGTTCCAACGATCCCATTCAGAAGTATTTGATTTCTCATCTCGATGCAAGTCCCAGCTTGGTATTGTAATAGCCCAGCAGTAGCAGCAACTGGCACCTCCACTTCAGGCCACCCCACAAGATGCTCATTACATCAACAGTGTGGTTTGCCCGATTTACTGTCAAGGGAAAGTGCATGGAGTAATTTGCTCAAAGTCACATTTCCCACGTCGCATTTATAATTTTTCTTCCCCACATTGAGATGTGGCTTCAAATGGAGATGCTTTAAAATGTAACATCTTATTAAAACATCAAGCATAAGGAAACTACAATTGGTTAAATGTTTATTGAATGAATACTTTGAATACTTATCAGGCATTTTGATGCGCAGTATGGCTTAAATCACAACCCAGTGCTAATTTTCAAAAGAGCAACCTCAACTTGTGATATCAAATTACCACCACTCCATTATTGGTATCACAAGGGCTGTGATATCCCTTCAAGTTAGGGAGACAATGTAACTTCGAAACTCAGTATACAAATGTATCAAAACAATTTTCATTAACCCGTGAATTAAGAAAAATCTTTCAAAATAACATTTCCGTCTAACCCTGCCATGTATTTTAGTGATATGGCGCTTAAATTAAATGTGATCCCTTGAGAACGCTGGCATAACTCACAGGAAACACCAGCAAGGACCTAAACAATATACATTTAGGCCTCGTAAGGAAAAAAAAGTACACTTGGCTCAGACCACAAGGTTACGCATAAAACAACCAAACAGCTTCTGCGATCACAGCATGCGGAAAACTGAAAATGTGCACGAACAAAGTTAACGGCAAACACCACCCAGTGCATCAACAGCAGACAATTGCTACTGTACGAGATCGGTGTGCAACGGGAGAAATATAAAGCTCACAATAACGCATGGAGCGCTGGCCCCTATTGCTAAAGACCGTTACCATCAGTGCCTTGCTCATGACTGCCTTGCAATACCGCATGCAGTCTTGCCAGTGAGGGCACTTCTCATGCAGTGAAATTATCACTGCTCTTGGCCCACATGGCTCTAAATCCTACAAAGTCTCCATTTCGAGCCTCATTTGGATTAGCTACAATAGCAACAAACATTTTCTTTTTATAATGTAGAGGCAATGGCTTGTACATTCCACAATATCCATTAGACCCTGAAGTGTGCAATTAAACGTTCATGTGAAATACACATTGACCCCACCAGTTAGTTTTTAATGCCCAACTACGCTACGTTTACTTAATAAAATGCAAGGTAAAGGTGCATCATCCCTTCAAATGATTGCTCACGACACGATTGGCAGCAGGACCTCCACGAGAGGATATTTGGCCTACTCATCCACACTGGCCATATATCTTGCCTGCACTTTTCCCTACCACAAACGAAAAGCCGATCCATTAGCTATGGCGTTCCCATTTTATACCACTGGGTGGACAGAGGCGGAATGACTTAAGAAACTTGCCAATTGTTTCAAACTGTCATGCCAGGAGGTCGAACCGGTGACTTCTGGATTGCAAGTCCAGTGTGCTCACCATCCCTTAATAGAAATACACCCACACAATTATATTTCATCAGTATTGAACATGTTTCATGTTGGGTTGCAATAACTTTTATATGTTTTACATAATTACCAAATGAAAAAAATAATGGGCTACAACAATACTTTTCTTCATAATTTCCAAAGTAATTTTTTTCAACCTATTTTACAACCAATTATTGAAAAAGGCACGAACACAGGTTGATAGAAAAATCTAAAATCAGGCAGTCATTATTATTTAACCTCCTGTGATGCATACTGCTTTGTCAAATGGGCTGTGCGGGTGTAAGGCAATTCCAATTACAAACTTAACAAAATTGTTGACAAATAGCTGTAATCTGACATTTCTATATCAGTGTCAGCAGTTCTAATTTCAACAATGCAGTATGCTTTAATTCAAAGTCCACATGATATTAGTGTTATGTTAACACTTACATCTAAGGATATGACAAAATATTTGCAGTGACGCTAAACCATGAACCTGCAAAAGATTATTAACATTCGATGAAACCAAAGAATATTTTGTATTTGCAAGTTATATTCTATTTACACAATTACCGTGCATTTATGTTCTAAATTCTACATAAAAGGGGCATGATACACTTCTTGAACGAGTGGACATTTTCTTACAATGTCACAATTCAAGGACAATAACAAACATGAATCTTGGTATTTTACATACGAGTATAAATTCTGTAAAATAAATTCAGACCTTTTGTCAAGGCACTACTGGAATAATGCCTCTCAAGGTCTCGTTGGTCATGAGAATTGTGACCACACTTAACCACGCTGGTCAGTTCAGGTTGGTGGTAGGGCACCCAGGACCGTGCGAGATATACCGTAATTCCCTACGGACATCTGCTGTGGCCAGAAATCGAATGCCTCTCGCCAGATACTGAGCACGGCGCAAACCGCTGCGACAATGCTCAACCCAATTTCACATATAAAAAGGTTGATATAAATAATAATAGCGCATTTCACATTAAGTTAGTTCCCCATTGTGGCACTACTGGTTTTTATCGATTTGTTCAAATCACCTGGAAAAATAGGGTACAGATAAACACATTCATCAGTACTGCATTTGGCAACTTCCATCTCAATCGAGTAGGGGGGGGCGACCCCTCCAGCAATGAAAAATGATAGGAGTTGTTAGTAAGGACTTGTCCCTTGCTTTTTATTTGACGCGTGTGCGTGATGGCGCAGCCATCGATCGAGGGTCGAATTCGAACCGCGTTGTGTGATCGGCATGGCGCTCGCTGAAGGTGAATGCCTTCAGGGAAGTCGTGTACTGTATACGCAACTGCGCACAATTCTGAGTCACTTATAACTGCTTTGCCGTTACTTATTGCCAATTATGGACTCAGACTATTGTCCTATCATCTCATAGAGTCCCTGGCACATAATAATATGCTACACAGTGGCAGTGGGGGTCGCAAAATTCCGATTTTTTACTAATAAACCCCAATGATCTGATCGAAATTAGAGATTTCGATCGGATCATTGGGGGGGCACGTGCCACCCCACCGCCCACTGGCTCTACCAGTGGTTCAAGACAACATGGCAAGTTCATACTTTGGTGTCAAGGAGCCAGAGATTCAAGACATAAAAAGGTTGCCACACAAATTATTTTAAATAAATACAAATAACAAAAGATGGATAAGCTGGTAGGCTACTCTGTTTCGTCAATAGGGGAACTAAAAAGTCCAAGTTTGTTGCGTCCGAGTTGTGATGAAATCAAGATAAATGCTGCGGTGTTAATATAATCGAGACCAAACAGAGACCAAAGGTTCGCCACCTCATCTGATTGTCTTAATGACATAGATGTTTCTTATAAATGAGCCATATACAATATCACAATATAATATGGAACTATATTACAACAAAAATGCATTTTAACACTGCTTTGAAAACACAATGGCTATTTTTTGTAAGACATAGGGTATATATCTGTAGCCGAGGAATAACAACAGCCGATTCAAAATACCAAGACCCATGACGGCTGGACATAAAAAGGTATGTCAGAGTTGCTGTTTTTTCTGCCAAGGAGAGCTTATGTCAGTTTCTTCATGAAGCGCAGCTTCAAGTAGGTGATGGCGAGAAAGATGATGGTCATGCAGCCCAGCGCCACAAGGTTCTCCCACAGGGCCCAGTCATTTGTGCCAATTCCCTGCCGGCAAAGGTAATCCTCACCGGTACAGCTGTAATAGAGAAACAGAAATGAATTAAACCCCTCATGCAGACAGCCAGCAAACAGGCAGAACTACCTTTGAATTGTTATGGAATATCTAATAAATACTATTATCATGGAAGAAAAATCATACATATGCATGGATTCTCTAATGCTTTCCAATATGCATTTAACCTCGGATCTTTTTAATTTGCGATATGAATGCCACCAAATGAAATTACGTTATCAAAATGGAGGCATGCACATGACGTGTGATGTCATCAAATTGACAGAGAAGGGATACCCATTAATCGCTGGTTTTTATCTCCAAGTTTTGGATAGCCCTTTGATAAATTTGCCCCGTTTTCTGTAGGGTAAGCCCCAAATAGCATTACAACTTTATACTAAAAGATTGTTTAGACTGCACCATGTTTACGAGTTATCATGACTCCCCCTGCTAAAGACAGACTTACTGCGAGAACATTTTCAGTGCGCTAACCAATGCGCCACCGCTCCACCCTGTAGACCATGGGTGGGGAATGTCCGGCCCGCGGGCTGTATTAGGCCCGCAAAATAATTTGGTCTGCCCTGCCAAGGCAACCGCACAACTCGAAATTCAATAAATCTAGGTGCTTTTTTCATAGCAACATAAATTTAATTTTGTATGGCCCACGAATAATGTTATAAATATCCAAATGGCCCTTGGCAGAAAAAAGGTTCCCCACCCCTGCTGTAGACGATCAACATCTCTATCGAAATTATTTATTTCAAAATGTTAAAAATAGGTCACTTTTTTCAACTGTCTAAGAATATGATGTAGAAGTAGACAACATAGTATAACAACATGTAAAATGAGGGTCTAATTACGACAGCATGTACATGTAAAATTGTAGATAAATTAATGGAAAACAGCAGTTCCGTTTTCAGCCTCAGCAGGAGCAGCAGCAAGGCCTTACATGGCTCCAGTGTTCGCAGATGTGGAGTTACAAGTGAAGGACGCGGAGGTGTAGTTGCTACCACAAAACATCAGGCCCCGAAACTCGTTCACTTGCAGTCCCTGCAGGCCACAATGAATACATATTGAAATACATTTCAAGAGATACTGGTCTATCATTTACAGTGAAGTGATATTTCCTCTCAACATTATCATGTAAATTACAAACACAAATTCTCTTCGTTTTTGGGGGGCTCAAAGAACATAGAACCCCAGTAGTTTTGCCCCTTCCCCTTACTCTCGTCAGGCCTACATACAGAACAAAACCTTTCTAAACTGCAGTGTATCACAGTTGTTTTCTTGAGACTGCCTTTACATTTAATCTCTCCAAAAGTGGTCTTTCAATTAAGTACACTGCTTTTCACTTTTGCACCTTACAGTTAAAATTCCAGTTATTTTCTGGTCCTTGTAAAGGAAAGCTACAGAGTAGTGCATATTGGCATAAATCAGTTAAATCAGTTCGTAATAGATACTGGTTGCAGCCAAAGATCTACTCTCTGGAATGTCATCAGAGTTTAAGACCATAGCATAATTACAGTCACTGGCATGATTAGTCATGTTATAACCAGGGCCCCATGCAGTAAGTGACTCGTTAAATAGCCTCAGTTTTACCACATGGATAATTGTATTCATTATAAACATGGTTAAATCTTGACTTAAAGCTTTCGTGACTGCAGGAATTCATATTCTTTGGGTCTTTCGGTAAAGTCACGTAGATAGGTTCTTTTTTGTTATTTTCTTTGAACCTATCTACGTGAATTTACCAAAAAAGACCCAAAGAATATAAACATGGTTCTATAAAATACGAAAATGTTTACATTGCAGGACAGCATAAAATGACTTTATATATGCCAGTTCTTGCTCTACGGGCTTGAAAGTATTTAAAACCATGGACTTTAAAAATTGTAATGTATTGAAATTAAGTCTGGCTTGAGACAAAATTGAGGGCCGCACACACTTACAGTGAGTCCATATCTAGGGATGCTGAAGTACTTTAGCCAGTTGAGCCAGCCCATGACGCTTGGCAAGTTCACCAGCAGACCTGAGAAAATCTAACCGAAAAAAGCAACACATCTCAGTTCACCATGAAGCAACAGGTTTACTTGTCCCAATGACGAGTTTTCTAAAGCCTAGAATTGTGTACGAGCTATAGTTTTTCATATAAAGGTGGCACAATGGTAGAAAGAGCATGAAGACACTGTAACGTATATGATTGATAGAAGTAGCAACAGCAGTAGGAAAGTTAATGAATGCCCAAGGACGGGGGAGGCAAACAAATCTATATGCACACTCGTAAAACGTTACTTAGAAACAAGAACATAAAATGTGGATCGCTCGCTCACGAGCTTGCTTACAATCATGAAGACAAAGCAGATGGTGATGAGGAGGTTTGCTACGGCCACTACGCTCTGCCCAGCACTGATGGCCAGGGCCATGGAGGTGGCGGTGTAAGCCACGAGCACCACCGTAAGCATGAAGATGAAGAATTGCCCAGCAGTTGCCTGAAAACCTGTCCCCGGGAACAAAATAGTATGAGACCTCCGAATGACCACTCTCATCACGAGTATCAACATTTATTACGTATGCCATGCTTCTCATGCATAAGTAATAAAAAAAGCAGTATAGACAATAGACTACAGGGGTAACGGATTGCTAGGGGTTGATAGCACTCGTGGGAGGGGGAGGGTGCACTACAAACGGTAAATTAAGAACCACTGCTATAGTTTCAAAATGCATTTAACACAATCGTATTTCACCTTGAGCAATTTATAAGTGGTGAGTATCTGTGCGGTGCAATAAAATAACATGTCAGAAATTGTTTGACTTGCCGATCATCCAGTAGGTCACGATGGAAAAGACGGCTGCAGGCAATGTCCGCATAGGTATGAGGTCAGACATGACTTTGGCCAGAAAGTAGGCAGACACTCGGTAGTAGCCACTGATGTACTCATGTCTGTGGACACATGGCAATGGACATGAAGAAACATGTGCTAATCAACACTTCCAGCAATGTAGTGTTGTTGCTTTACTCTTTTCACATATTTGTGCCAATTAAGCAATGTTTGTGCCAATTAGGACTATGTATATTAGTGATGAGAATAGTCCGTGAAAATCTGAATTAGTGCTGTAACATACTTACATGCAAACAACAATACATTGGGGGGAAAGGTAAGGTAGCTACATATCTACAGTGATGAACAATTGGTGAATGAGAAGCAATGTCCTATTATATTCAGAATATGATTTCAATGCATATTGGGGACAACTAAAAGCATGTTGATCGCTTAAAGCTGTCAATTCATCAACAGCCATGGTCCATCCACTGCTGGATGAAGGCCTCTCCATGTCATCGTCATCTCACAATTTGCACACAAGCTGATCTCATCATTCCATATCCATGCAGGTTGTCCTCTCGACCACGTTATTTTTTTTGGCGTCATTCCATCATCATTATCGACCATCGACCGCCGACCTTCCTAGTGATGCATCCTGCCCAAGCTCGCTTGCTTTCCTTAACAGTCAATAGGCCGTCTTCAATTTGGATTTCTTTCCCGATCCATGTGTGTTTCAATCTCCGAGTACACTACCATGCAAGCGCCTTTCTTACTTTGCATGCTTTTTAAATCTTTATATTAAGTTCGCTTGCTTGCTTGCGTGCTTGCTTGCGACCAGTGCAAATCTTTCGGTCGTTTTTTAACCCACTTCCCGGGATCCAATCGAGCTGACATTTTGCACACAGACTCGTTGTGCGAGACAATTAATGTTCGTGAAAAAAAATTTCCACAATTTTACACTGTTTAGGAAAAACAAATTAAATATTTAATTACCAATTGCTTAATACTGGCAGACAATTATCTGACCCATAGGTGGCAGCCATCTCAAGCCAGAGGATGAGAGGACTCTAGCCGCCACGCATATAAAGGATTTAGAGTGAAAAACTTTGTTTTTTACGGGTTAATTTTTTAGATCTTGTTCCATTTTGTCGGTCTATCTTTTTGACATCATGGCGTGGAATATCCCCAGATTGAAGACGTACAGTTTTCCAAAAGCACTCCACCCTGCTCTCATTCACCACTTTATCTCATCATTTGGACCACAGTCCAGTTTCAATAACTGTCCCTGGCAAACACACATCCAGCCGTTTACCAGTTAGATCCCGAGGACAACTATTTATTTTTGTTTAGCAGGATGATCATTGCGCTGAACTTACGTGAATATCTTTTTCTCCCGAATGAAGAGCTCAATTGCCGATACGCTGGAGAAGCACTGGTTCGTGGTGATAAAAAAGAGAGATCCAACCCTGAGAGAGGACAATTTGAACATACAATGATGACACATTTTCATGGCATAGGCTCTTTGCACATTCCAAGTGAAGCTGGATGGTGGTGATACATGCCTGTAATCCAGCACTGTGAAGGCGAGGGTTGGTGGACTGCACAAATGTTACGAAACTCCCTTCCCGTAGGCATCAAGGTGTCATACCCTGGCTCACCAGGAAGCGGCGGTAGACCAAGTGTTCCAACTAATCTCCATTTGGTCCATCAAGGGACAGTGTCGCCTCTCGCGCACATGAGTTTCCCCTTGTTGCTGCGATTTCCACGCCCATGTATAAACACTCATTCATTTGCTGAAAACACCTTCATAGATATGATGTACTGTGGAGTTTGGCCAATTGTTGGCACCAGCTCACTGCCTGGCTAGCCTTTTAGGCTTGCCTGTGGTTCCTCGTGCCTCTGAGTAATTATCTCCCTTACGAGAGCAAGAAAAAACTGTGCGCGCTCTAAGTAGTTAATTATTATTGTAATAAAACACTCTTTGCTCATTACTGAAATACACTCAATATACATAAAGTGGTGTGCTCAATACCTGTTCTGGATGCCACTTGGATCTAGTTTAGCACCAAAGAATATGGCTCCAACAATCAGGCCCAAAACCAAAGTGACCACCAGCTGTGAGTCCATGCAAATAAAGAGGAAAAAGAAACATCACTAAATTATACAATGACACAGCAAACGAGGTGTGACAAGTAAAATCTAACCCTTTGTTTAAAAAATGCACCTGACAATAAAAGCTGTTAAGGAGGAGGATTACATTTAACAACAAGTTGGAGAAAATCATGCAAATGCATGATTTTATGTAATGAATTCCCATAAATGCTTTTCTACAGAATTATGTAATTAACAGAATAGACACCAACGGTGGATGTTACCACAAAATGCGTGTGCATATTTGCAAAAAGGAATTTTTTGCTGTTGGTTGCGTCTCTCAATTTTGGGCAATGACTTGATCAACTTGTCCAGTTTTTAATAATGTAATGTCCCCGATTGTAAACATACATTCATGCTAAAGTTTATTTCGTATTGGAGTTATAGCACCCTGCATCCCTGTTACAGCGGACAGAGCTAATGCATACAGACTTTCAACTTTAGTTGGAAAGCCATGAAAAGGGACACGAATAAAATCCTCACATAACACCTTGCCAATTTTATGTTCTACGTGGCCACACGAAAAGTTGAACCTGTGCAATGGAGACTTGTGGGTTCCTCGAAAGGTTGGTCACAGAGCGCTTGGTGACCCAGTAGAGCTGGTAGAAAAAGGAGGTGGCGTAGGTGATTCTCTGTGTTTTAATGCTGGTCGAAGCCTTGGAGCCCACGGACGCGAGGATCTTGCGCAACTCCTCATCGCTGGCCTTGAAAACGTCAGAGTTGTGGTACGACTCCTGCAGCTGCTCTGCAATAGTCCTGTGCTCCCCCTGCTTGACCTCTTCCTCGTCTGTGGCACAGAGGGGTGCACAAGAGACATGCACATTGGAGAGATATAAAACTTGATTTAAAGCTTTCGTGACTGCAGGAATGACTCTTTGGTTCTTTCGGTAAAGTCATGTAGAAAGAAAATAACTTAAATAATAGAATACGATGTTTCGATTGCAACACAAGCAATCGTCATCAGGTAAGAATGAATGAGAAAACAAACCTAGTAAACTTAAAAATAGAATGCAATACAACACAGAGAGTCGGCTAACACAACAGTCAACACCCTACCTGGTTGATAACGTTCTTCCAGAGATTGCTAAATATGAGAGAGACACAAAACACAGACACGGAGATACACAGACACGCAAGCAGAGATAGGCAACACAGAGACACACAGAGCGAGAGACACCGGTTCGATCTCCCCAGAGTGGCTTTTGAAACAATGGTACAAGATTCTTAAATTCCTCCACAACTGACCACCCAGCAGCAGAAATGGGTACACCAGATTTATCCCGTCGGCAGGGCATGTGTGGTGGGGTTAAGTGTGGGTACTCCTACCTCTTTTGAGATGTCTGGGCAGCGTGGAAGAATGGACCAAAATTCACACTAAAGTGGCTTCCTCGGGCTCCCTCTAGTGGAGACCCTTCCATTAGCAGCAGCAAGCAATTTCAGGGCTACAACTGTAACTATACGTATTGCATGTGAATTTAAATTAATTTGACTTGTGTGCACCAAAAAGTGACACACTTCAGTGAATTCACAGAATCAGATAAACCAATACTTCACATATCAACAAGTCCTGTGAAACAGAATTTGCTGCGATTGAACAATGGAAAATGTACGACGCATTAAAGGTCAGTTGCTTGGGAACAATCTCCAGTAATCTTTGTGTATAGCCACAACAGGTGTTTGTACCTTTAAAGCACCGAAAACAGTGCTTTGTAAAAAAGATATATATGCAGTTCACACCCATTTAAAGTACAAAATACATGCTTCTGAGTAATTCAAAGCAGCCCCTGAGCTGGGTTCACATTTGAGTAGAAAGACATTCATTTTTGAAGAGGCCTTTAATACAGCATAATGTTGATCCATGAAAAAGTAATGTGGATTAAAAAAGTCAGTACATCATTAAAACACACTTTTAAAATGTTTACAGAAAACCCATGATACTGTGAGGTCTTCACAAAGTTCAGGGTTCTTCTTTCAACAAGGGACATGTGGCTCAAGTTGGCCAAAACCAAAACAGCTTTTGCAATGGGAGATGACAGCAAACAAATTCAATTAAATTCACTATGAGATCAGTAACTACCCATCCTGGGTGTCTTGTATGGAATGTTATTGAAGGTACCATGGAAAAGTGACATTATATAGCACGTTTCTGTAATTCCAGATTTATCATATATCAATTAATTTACTTTAAGTATTATTTAATAGAAACTAATATGATAGCGTTAATGGTACCATCCTTTGTAAGTGTAACTATACCTGCCCAATCTAACAAGTGATTTAAAAAAAGCAGTACATTGACATTAATAACCTCTCATATTTTCAGTACAAAAACACACCTAAACTTCTGCAATTTCTGACTGTGATAAGTTATATATTCGGTGTTCACGAATGTTGGTTGTTAAGTGATTATATTATTTGTGCAGGATACAGCACAATAACTGGTTTGTCCTTTCTGGCATCCCATGTAGAAAAAGGTACCCCCACGCTGTTAGGAGAAATGCAAAAGTGCACGTAAAATGCATTTGCACCATTTGGAGAGAGATCGATTTCTTCCTCGCCGCTATCGTCGCACTTTTCATTTCTCATGGCTGCAACGGCGGTCGAGTCTCCGTTTATGATGTCCAAGAAGAAGTCCGCGGGATTATTGTACGGCTCGCACTCGTAGCCTGCGAGCATGAGCGTGCGCATTACAACGCCCAACACAAACACACGACACATCGGCTGGGCAAACATTGGACATGAATAGCATCTAAAAGACGTAAACTTTGACTAAAGACATTGACAGTTATGTATACACGCACACACATACACAATGCTATATTGCACTTGCCTTGCTTACTACATGATTGTCATTTATAATGTTCAGAAATGTTTATGTTCCAAGTAAAACATATATTTTTACGGCTTTCAATAAAATGCGTAATCTGACAGGGTCTAAAAACTGCCGATTGATTAGTAGTTCGATTTGTAAAATTGTTATTAGTTTAATCCAAACGCGGTCTTTAAACTTGAGTTAAGAAATGCTCAACCCAGAAAACAGCACAAGTGGCTGAATTACGAGTGGCTGCGAAATCTTAGGTGTCAGATGCAGTGTAACTTAACAATTCCTTTATTTAATACCAGGCAACTTGATGTAGTTTTCCATGAAAAGAAACCGACCTTGATTTTGCATGGCACTACGGCTCACTCACCAAGATTCTGGAAGTAGCTGAGAGCGGTCTTGGCAGGGCCGTGGTACACCAGGCTGCCACTGGCCAGCAGTGTCAGACTGTCAAAAAGCTTGAAGATGGAGTAGCGTGGCTGATGGATGGAGAAGATGATGGTCCGACCCTTCCGTGACATTCTGCATTCATTCAAATAACCCAACACGCATGCACACCAAAAAATATAATTCCAACCAGATCTTAAAGCATAAATCCTCAACAAGAGTACATAGAGAGGCAGCTCACATCTTAATGAATCAGTCGATCATCATAATTTTGGCGATTTGTCCCGTTGTTGATAATCGAGACCGTGGCAGGTACTCATACGAAAAAAATCAGATGAAATGAGACGAGTTTTTTAAATCATTAATTCAGGATGTGAGCCAATGCCATATTCTGATCAAGCCTTTCTGATTAACTCCAAAAGACGAATAAGACCCATATGAAATGTGGATTGGCCGATAATGAAACGCCGTTAGGGCTGCTGCACACACACCGCTTGAGCAGCAGGAGAACGGCGTTGGCTGTGCTGGCGTCAAGCCCAGTGGTCGGTTCATCCAGGAACAGCACTGACGGGTCGTTGATGAGCTCCATGCCAATGTTCGTGCGCTTCCTTTCACCACCGGACACGCCGCGGATCAGCTCAGTGCCCACCTGCGCAATCCAGCAGCATACGCAGGATGAAAGCAGCGACTCCTAATTCTCGTTTTGTATCACGCAATGGTCGATCGGCATTTTGTGTGCGATGGGGTAATCATAATCTCTATCAGAATCATGATTTCGACTGGAGGAATCCGATGAGCTATGATATCCAGTAGGGGCGGGTCAGCAAGTTACAACAACGAACAATAGAAAAAATGATGGGAGTGCAAAATAGAGAAATGTAAGTAAGTTACTATAAATAAAAAAGTGTACAAGTACAAATTGCGTAAGTATATACATTCCTGTCGATTTGTCAACACCAAATGCAAGCTTGGGCAAGGCAGAAAAACAATGGATATAATCTCATTTTGGATGAGCAGGACATATCCAAATATGTCTTCTTCTGCACACATCAACCATAAAAACGTTGGCAAACGTCATCATCCCTAAATTCTTGTTTAGTACCATATCTGAACACGGCTATATTGTACGTTTTTCCTTATTACACATTTTTGAAACATAACTGAAATTCGTGCCGGAAGCAGGGAAAAATGTATGATTCTCATGTCCTTTTAAATTGTAGCTTTTTATATTAACATATAATAATTTATATTACACACTGTCTATACAATGGAAATCACTCTAAACACGAATGTCCTTTCAGTAAGTGACTGGCAAGGTAAATCGCTTTTGCGCTGGCAGTCTCACCCACAAACACCACCAAACGCACCGTTTAATAGTCACAGCAACATAAAACGAAATCCACTGAGTCTTCCACTCAAAAAGCAAGGGATCCAACTCGGGATGGCCCTATTGATCAACAAGAGCAAGACATTACTGCTGCATTCACACGCCACGTTTACCTTGGAGTCGGCACACTTGGTGAGGCCCAACTCTTGGATGATCTGGTTCACTCGCTCCTTCTTCTCTTGCTGGCTGATTGACTGCGGCAGTCGTAGAGCAGCGGAGAACTGAAAGTTCTCCCGAACGGTCAGTGTACCCATCACCACGTCATCCTAAAGGAGGATCCAACGGATTTGTCAGCACTCAACTGCACCGCAATGACGATTCAGGTTGGAGGGGCCATTACAAAACTCCAGTTCCGAGAGCCATGGCTACAATATGAAACTTCAATGACTTCCGGTTCTTAAAACATGGCCATACTTCACGTATCACATTGCGAGAAATGAAGACGGCTGGTGGCCCAGAGGAATGACGGCGAGGCAGGGATAGGAGGGAGCGTGCCACCGCGGAAATTGAGAAATAACATTAATGTGTGGAGGTGGTGGACAGACTGATGGGGGATAGTCACAGATTGGGGAGGTCTTCAATGAGGAGGGGAATGATCCTGGTTGATGTTGACAAATTCATACGGCAACCATAATCTATTATATGTGTACATGGTTATTTGTAGGCCCAGGGAATTTTTACGAAATTTTTAAGAAATTTACTTAATAATTAAATGTATGGAGGTTTTAAACATTTTTATACGTTGTTAAACGTGTTCAAAAGATTTGGTTTCACCAGTGCAATACATAAAGTATATACCTTCCAGCTTTCAATTAACACGTATATTTGTTATGCTTTACAAATAGCCGATTTAATATATGTTTAACTACATTTTGGGTGCAACCAAGTTCATCTGTACGAATGTTAGCAGACGGCCCACTCTACATCGTGACATTAAACCTTCGAGACATTAAACAACACAGATGCAAACTAAAAGTTGTGGAAAATGTATGACTAAGGATGGGTGTGGAGAGGAAACGTGTGGCCGCTTCAGCAGTTGGGGACTTCCACTGAACTTGGTGGTTTCGTTAAAAATAAATAAACCAATGGGTTTGTCTTTGTTAACACTGGGTTCGTAAAAACACACCGACCTGCACGACATATCCAGAGACGCATTTGAAGTTAGGCGGCTGTGGAGCCCCATCCACAAGAACAATGCCCTCCAGTCCATTGGGGTCCTTCCTGGCAGCCAAGACATCTAGAAGCCTGGAAACGGCAGCAATCCACCCCATCAAATCAGGGGACCGCAAGATTCTCAGTGCTAAAAGGACTTCCCACCATTATCCTCACAAGAGGTCAACATCACAGACAAGTGCATCAGATGTGCTTCTGCAGCTGTCTGGAATGCTCTTCCTTCCGATATTAGGAAGTTACTGGAGCTATGCACTTTTAATTCAAGATAGAAAACTAATTTCTTTACAACAAATGTTTTTCTTTAGTTTCTTATCCTCCCTCTGCACCTCCGATTAGCACGGGTGGCTACGTACGGTGCGAAAGAAGTGAAACCTCGTACAACTCGAAAGTGTTAGCGCTGCCAAAAGGGATATTGATATAATAACCTCAAAGGAAAAACATTTAAAATCAGCATTTTCTTTACTTGTGAAAGTACAAATGTTATTTGAGAAATTTTCAAGAAACAAACTTTGATAAACATTTTTCTCAGAAAGGCTTGTCTTAAGCATACATATCGACAAATAGCTGCAAAAAAATGGCAGGAGCATAGCCTTGTGAGTTTTTTTAATACTCCAGTGTGAAAATGCATCCAGTCACATTTACAAATTATGAATTGTCATTCAGACTTAAATAATCGACCTTTCGAACTGAAACACTGCCTATGCCCTCGTTTTATATGACCAAAGATTAGGACAAAAATGGAAATGGTGATGCGGGAAGGTCCCCGATATCTGGGCAAGTTGGCATGGAATGACCCTGTTGTTGTCAGCATGTGACATCCCACTCCTGGGCCAAGGCCTCCTCCATTCCTTCTTTTCCTTAGGCGTGCCTGTCCAGCCGTGGCCTCTGGCTGTGTGTGCATCAACATCCCTTTGTTTATTTACATTGAAATTTGTTTTTTCACTTCAAATAAGGGGTGGTGAATCTGAAACTGAGAAAAACCGATCTGGCTGACCCTAGCAGAGCTGGAAAGACCCAACAATGATTGACATGAGCATGGTATGGGTGAAACACACAATGTGAAGTAATTAAATGTGCAAAGGGACCAAACTTACGAGGACTTTCCACCACCTGTTGGCCCAAGAATGGCATTCATACCAGGCTTCATGATCCCACTGGAAAAAAGCAAACATGCCCTGTTACTACTGCACATGCTCTCTTCAAATGGCCCGTTTGTATTTACTATAGCCTCATTGATAGACATGTGTTTTGGAAAGTACACGATTATTCCATTCCGAGACGAAATATAATGTTGACACATTATGCATTATGTACAACATGGATATGGCAAAAATCTTTAAGCAAAAGGCCAAAATGCATGATCATCAATGTTGGGAGAGTATATTCTCATTGTTTTTTTCTAAAATATTTAAAAAAGTGACTTAAAAAAATTAGCAAACATTGGACCCTTTTCACAATTGTGATTATGCATTTTAATTTAATTTCAGGTCCTTTCCAGATTCGGCTGAGTAACAACAAATATCATATGTTAAATACATGACGACTGCCAAAAGTAAAAAAAAATGCATCATAACAAAAGGAGCATTGTATTGACAGTTAAATGACAATTTTTACTTAATTCTACACAAGTTATCCCACGAGTAAGGCTTACACTTATGGTGTTGCCTAGCTTGAGATGTATTTATTAAAATAAAACGTAATGTCCATAATAGAGTAGGAATAAACAAGAGGATTTTTAAATCAAATATTAAGTGCTGTTATCTACAACTATCATAAGTAAAACATCTTCTTCATAAATGGTGTTTTATGGTAAAATACATAGGTTTTTTAAGCCAATATCAAGATTCATTTTAGATTTTTGGGTTAGGCCATGTAATCATCTGGCCGAACATTTCTGTTCTAAGACCCCTCCACCACCTGACATGTCACGTGTATAAGCATTGAACGGTGCCAATGATTATTGTTAGCTCTACAGCAAGTTGAATAATAATCTCACATCCAAATTAAACTTACCGAGGAGCTGAAATAATAATATATTGGCATGCTAAACACTTGTACACATTGTGACATATCATTTGTTTGGACATAGTCGGGTGGTGAAGGAAATATCGCAACAGAACATTTGCCAGATGATTAAAAGTCAATTATTCATCATTAATCATCATTGTAAGTGTCTTATTCATTATGGCAATGATTATTTATTAATATATATTTTAAATCAGGATAAACTTGAGATTGACATCTTATTTATCAGGGAATCCTGGCAAGATGGCAGGAGTGAGGATCTATAGACACATGTGGAACATTTCGATTTAAAGCTTTCGTGACTGCAGGGATTCATCTTCTTGGTTTTTTCTGGTAAAGTTATGTAGGGAAGTAATAAAATAATAAAAATAAACCATTATAAAATAATTCTCACGACGTTTCGGCCACAACGCAAGCAGCCGTCCTCAGGTGAAGAATGAAACACCACCAAGCTTGGAGCGTATATTTAATCTGGGTTGGAGGGGAAAGAAGAGCGCCTTGACATAATGATTTACATCAAGCGAAATTTAGCATATCTATATAAAAAATTTGTTGCATATTTATAAATATGCTAAATTCCTCTTGATATGCAAATTCTTTTGTCAAGGCGCTCTTCTTCCCCCTCCAACCCAGCTTAAATATACGCTCCAAGCTTGGTGGTGTTGCATTCTTCACCTGAGGACGTCTGCTTGCGTTGTGGCCGAAACATCGTGAGAATAATTTTATAATGGTTTATTTTTATTATTTTATTATTTCCCTTCTACGTGACTTTACCGAAAGAACCAAGAAGACATGTGGAACACATCCTGAGAATGTTACCGTCTCAACTTTATGTTGAACTAGATTCTACCAACTTAGTTGCTGTGGTGAAATTGGAATGACCATGGAAAATGCTTATTTGCAATTTTGGAGGTGGCACAACAGTCCTACAATTTTGCAGTCACAAGCTCTTAATTGCTGTGAAGAGAAGCAATAGAAAACTTAATTAAGTAATCTGGGGCCAAGTCATTTAATGCCTTGCAGGCAAATAACTGCATTCAAACAAAATCTTGACTTAAAGCTTTCGTGACTGCAGGGATTCATATTCGCTTGTGTTGTGATCGCTTGTGTTGTGATCAAAACGTCAGAGTTTTGTTATTTTTTGTTATTTTCCTTCAACCTATCTACGTGACTTTACCGAAAGACCCAAAGAATATGAATTCAAATTGGCAACGTGGCTTGATTGTTGGCAAGTTGTATACACATTCTATTTGCTTAGAGGGCACACAATCACACCTAATATAAGGCTGTAAACCACATTACAAGATAAACATCTTGAGACTGTCACGTGCAGGTTTTGGCTTTTTTCCTAGGTTTGAATATGCCAACGGATCTAGTTTACCAATGTGACTGGCCATAGTTAGACAAGTTTGCAATCGTACATTCAAGCTTTTTAAAACTTAAAACTTTTATAGAGTGCATCCATCAATGTTTGTGGGAACTGTAAATGTTTTTCATCATTATCATCACCTTCAACATCACCGTCATCTCCCATTACAATCAGTTCTGTTAAAGAATTACGAGGTGACATTCGTCATATTGTTGCCGCAAAATGAGATACAGCAAAACCTTGGATTGCGAGTAACTTAGTCTGCGAGTGTTATGCAAGACGAGCAAATTTTTTAAATAAATATTAATTTGATAAACGAGCAAGGTCTTGCAATACGAGTAGTACGTGTATATGCTTTGTCTGCCGAGCTTCACGTGATCACAACTGATATACGAGTGCTTTGATATACGAGTGCTTTGGATTACAAACACGTTTCCGGAACGAATTATGCTCGCAATCCAAGGTTTACTGGATATGGAAGTTGCTCTCCAAGCTGCGTTGTGGACCCGATAACCCAAGTTCGATTGCTGGATACGGATAACAGAATAGGTTCTTCACCCATACTCCCCAAACCCTCAAATTCACCAACCCACAAAACCATGACTGATATGGTGCAGTGAGGCCTTCATCCATTGGTGGATTGAAAATGACTGGAATATATTTACTTACATGCAAAGAGATTCAGTGTTCACTAAAACGGAGATTACATAATTGTAAATTTAACTGACGAACATTGGTACACCAATGTAAAACGATTATCATCACGTACAACGATAAAACACAGTAAATCAGCTCACTTTACATTCTTGAGGATCTCCTTGACGGTGACCTTGCGGCGGCAGGGCAGGCCGCTTTTTTGCTTCACCGAGTAGTTGATGTTGTGAAAGGTCAAGATGGAGCCTTGCAGGAAGCGCTGGGAAGTGCGCGTTGAGATCGAGCGCTTGATGACATTGTCCAGGTCAGGCTCCATGTTCACGGTTTCCATTAGTGGCCTCGCCTTGTCGCTCCTCTGCGTGACAAACATCGGTTCCACCACAGCACTCTGAGCGTGTCCCTTCCCAGGCTTGCCATTCTCCTCTAGCATGATTCATTGTTAATGGGAGAATAATTGTTTGGAATGGTTACAACTCCTTGGTATGATGTGTTTTGAGATTTATTACTGCACAGATGTTCAAGTTAATGCTTTATAGCTCTCTGATATTTTTGGGTTGTACCACATGTTTGGGCGGTATTTCTGACGTTTTGCTCCAATTAATTGAAATCATGGACTGAAGAAGCTCCTAGCACGTTGAGCGAATGTTAAGATATCATGCAAGACAACAAGCAGGTACAAGAGGAAAACACATCGAAGGACTTTTCTAAAATAAATTTTTATGATTTGGCTTATTAATGATACCAATCTCAATCAAGGGAATGCAACCAATTTCGAATTCCCACTCATTGATGGGTTTTTCTAATTGGCCCATCATAGGCCTCCGGTGTTCCACAGACCATACAATGTGTAAATAATCCCATACAATGTTTAATGTGGGTGTGTGGATTTCACATGGAGCAGTGCTTTTTTGAGCAATTTCAAGCCCTGCAATAGCATAATTATTGATATTGGTTAAGTTGTATAAATGCAATTTTCCCCATGAGAGGCAAACGTTAAACAGAGACACCAATGCTTGAACATGTAATTCAGCAGTATGAAAAAAGTGTTTTACGTTCAGGGTTACAGACAGCAGTTCACCTATAAATTGTACACAATGGGAAGCGAGATGGTATAATTCCAAAAGTGTATAAATGTACGATGTGTGCCCTCTTGGGGAATGCATTATACAGGTAGTCCCCGAGTTACGACGATCCGACTAACGATATTTCGATCTTACGATGGCGATAGCAATACGACAAAATTGCCATCAACAACCTAACATCGTTCAGGTATGCAAACGACGGACAGAATCTTGGCGAGTACAGTACAATATGATACGTTACGATACGGTCAATGCATGTACGATACGTAGCTTTAGCGATTTCATTTAAAGGTTACCACGATACGATACGTTCAATGCATGTTAAAAGTTAGTATAGCAGATAGGATTGTTTCCTGAAAAAACTTTCTATTAAATTGCAGTTCCTATAGGTAGGCTAGGAATTTACCTTGTTTTCTTTTACTTTACATTTTACTGTGCAATACAGTATTGTAATTAATAAATACATACAGTATATAGTTTATACAGTACGGTACTGTAAATTGCTCTGTTTTGCTAAATTATCACCATTCTTTAAGACTCCTGGGTAGGCTAGGCCATCTTCGACTTACGATACTTTCGACTTACGATGGGGTCGTCGTAACGCATCTCCATCGTAAGTCGGGGACTACCTGGACCTAATTTGTAGCCCTTTGTCAATCAACTGTGGAACAAAAGCCTCACAAGTGATGCCGGTCATGGTTGTTGTTGTTTCATCACACTTCACCGTACTGGTCAGTGTGTGATGATAAATGGGGGATGGTCAGGTTAAGATTTCACTTGCCAATTCATGTTAGCCATGGCCAGGTTAATAAGCACAATATGCAAGGCACTGCACCATTACTCCATCCCTGTCATGCATTGTGTGAGAGCGTTAACGTGCATTTGTAACATTTAATTGATAATAAAGCTTAAGTATTTGGCAATGGGGAAACATGAGCAGATTTAAGCTCTCCAGCAATGAAGATTAGGTCTGAAAAAAAATCAGGTAAGTTTCCACTTGGCAGGTGTGTCAGCCGATTTAGTTTCAGAGCCAAAGCTCCTTAAAACATTACACTGCAATTACAGACCCGACTACAATTCCAGCTCAGCTATGGCCTTTGAGAAAAACATGAGATGATATGTAATCTGCAATATGCATCACGTGAAATATTGCATCCGACGTGAACACAGAATGCCCTCGTGACCATCCACACAATTATCCCTCGTGACGTAAACCACGTATTAACACAATGGCTCCTAAAACACATCGGTGGCTGGCAATCGTGAGCAATGCCTAGCATTGCCTAACAAATAATACAATATTAAATATACTATATACGGTATATATATGTATATGCAATACCAGATTACATTTTTTAAGAGCAATCCAATAATTTATAATGTTACCAGGATTGCACTGGCAGAACAAGTGCATGGTGAATAAAGTAACAAAACTGTTACTCGCTAAAGCTAAATATAGACGTAATAAAATGGTGTTAGGAAATTGGACAAAATAAACAAAGGAATGAAATATATGAAGAAAACATTAACTGTATTTATCTGTCAGAGGGACTTCATTTGAAGGTCACAGCAGAATATGTATAGCCACAGTTATTAAAGGGAAATTGGATAAAAAATTACAACATTAGCAGCAGATATGAGCAAGTTAGACTGCTTTTGAAATGCTGGACCTGATAATAAAAAGGCCAACAAACCCTCTAAAGGAAAGTTTTTTAAGATTACCAGCTGCAACATATTGAGCCAAACATGGAAATTGACAAATAAAATTTAACAAATGTTCTAGAAGGTGTAAAAAAAACACATGGGAGCTGCACGTTTCGAATTACTCTGGCAGAAAGAGGAACACCCCTATTTGAGAATGTAGGCAGATTCATATTTTTTTACTTTTAATAAGAGGAAGAAGGCTTGGGAAATGCATGTCCCGATGAGAAATGATGGCTGGCGGTTGAGACTAAGGATGGAGTAGCAGCCTAGGGAAGGAATGCACTCTACATGATGTCCACCGAGAAGATGCAGCAACGAAATCAGCTCGCGTGGAAGTGCTAGGATGAATTATAACTTAGTAAAACCGCGAGATTATGGCGGTTTGGGAAAGCCTTCATCCAGCAGTTGATCTATTATGGCTGGTGATGATGACTTTCGAAACAACTACACTCACATGACATATCAGCTGTCAGTGATTTGTTGAAGGCAGCCAAGACTGGTTTCGCTCGACAGTTTGGCAGGAAACATGTTGATACTCTGTCACTAAAACTAGTGGTATAACAATGTATCAGTTACTTAACATTTACTCCTTAAGCTCGTGATACGTGCATCATGTAATGTGTGTGGTGTGTGAGAACTGACGTTGTTCAATTCGTCTGTAGTTTAGCACTGCAGTTTTTGAGAGCAGGGAAACTTAGAATGCTGGGGCAAATAAAGAAGTAAAAGGCACTTGACATAAATTAATTCAAATGTATTTGTTTTCAGCGATGTTCAACTTTCATTAAGTATCAATTCCACCTCCCAATCGTCATTGGCTATTATTTCATCAGCAGCTGTGCCATCCTATAGAACTGTAGGTGCATTTTAAATTGCTCACAGCAATTCCATACAATTCTCTTTGATATAGCACTCTTTTTGCAGAGTGTACCAGAGCACACTTGATACAGCTATCGTGCTGTGACGGTTCCACCTGAAGACGGAAGCTTGTGTTGCCTCCGAAACGTCGTGATTTTATTTTATTTTAATTTAACTTTTATTAATTTTAAATTTTTACCTACGTGACTTTACCGAAAAAACCTAAGAATATGAATCCTTGCAGTCACGAAAGCTTCAAATCTAGAATGTACCAGAGCACTTTACAAAAAAAAACTCTATACACTATTGGCCCATCAATAAACTCAAATTAATCTAACTAAAAAATAGAAAATATTATATTTAAAGATTCCATTGTGCCAGAATCCTGATACAACTTGTAACAGAGTTCCAGAGCCAGGCATCATTCTAAATAAATAATGCCCTTGCCCATCCTGGTTTTCAGAAGACTTCCAGGAACTACTCAGAGTTCAGACTTTCACTGATCTCAAGGTGCGACTTGGAGCATAACAAACCACAGAGTTCCTGGAAATATAAAGACAGCAGACCACAAAAGGCCTCATAGATAGGTAGAATAATTTTTACATCCATCCCTGGTTTTAAAAAGGAATCCAGTGCAGCGATTTAAGAACAATGAGTGAGAGTTAACAATTAAACCCAAATTAAATCATGACTAGTCCACAGATGCCCAGCACCTACAGGAGAAAGTAAAGAGTAAAAAACCATAACTAAAACCGCAACATGCCTGGCCAACACCTGTGTTTTCACCCAGGCAAGGTCCCTCCTCGTGCACTCTTGCAAACCGAGTGTCCCATCCATCTCCAGGGATTATCCAGGAAAGTTTGTTTAAAAAAAAACCCGTGAAGCAGGATAAACGTTCAAACAGTCCACAAGTTACATTTTTTTTATTTATTTTATAGAAAAACACCTTTGTAGAATCTGAGATGTGCTTATCTTCACAAGCCTTAATGAGCCAATCTTCTCCATTAAGATGCTAATTCGGTGATTGTTAAAGAATGTCAACCTCTGGGCAATATGTGACACGTGAAGGGGGAAGTGGAGGCGGCTGACTGACCAGTTTTGGATACAATGGCAAAGATTCGGGCATCAATGCAACTTCCATCGGATTACAAAATAATTGTATGCATTCTACACTTCGTTCCCATGTGCAGGCAGCTGTGCTCTTGTGTATACAGTGCCTGGATGTGTATCAGTATGCATGCATTTATGAATGCGTGTTATGTATGTAGAACTTCTTTCACACCGTGCTAATCTGAGGTGCAGGGGAAGGACAACACGCATATGCGTGTCGGTGAGTTTGTATCCGTGTACACCCATGAGCCTACGTGTGCATATACCCATGTACTCATACGTAACCACGTGAACATATGCGTCTGTGCGTGCCCATGCGTGTGCATTACAATTTAGATAATTATTTTAGAACGTCGTAATGTGACTGCATCCCAGGACGATGTACATTCAACATTTCATTTACGGAACCGGGATTTGGACGGGCGAGGGAAACCAGTCCCTTGGGGGAACGGAGTAAAACTACGGTGGGAATTGCGGAATGCGCGATCTCGCACGGACCAAAAGGTCGCCTCGAGGGCTGAGATAATGCATCGATTTGCAGAAGCAACGAGTTCCCAGAGGGGAGTAGAGTGAGATGAGAGGGCAGAAGTAGGATGAGGGGGGGGTGTCATGAATAAGAGCTTCATAGCTCATCGGATTCCTCCAGTCTAAATAAAGATTTTGATTCTGTATGGAGGGGGGGGGGGGTAGAGTGAAATGAAGAGGAGAGGTAGGAGAGGTGCCTTAAGGGGAGCACTGCGAGAAAAGACGGGAGGTAGTGAGGACAGGGTGTGGAGAGGAGTCGAGAGAGATGAGAAGGAGGGGAGGGTTGGAGAGTGTGCAGAGCTGAGTGAGATTAGAAGGGAGATTTTGAGGAGTGTGCGGAGGGGAATCGAGTGACAGAGGGCATTGCTGCCCAGGGACTCAAGTGGGTCTCGGTTGGCTCCTGTGTAGAGAGAGGGGGAGGGGGGTAAACCTGAGCCAAATAAGTAACATTTAAAAATACTTGTTTAAAAACACGCTTTAATGAAATGTACCCTACTATTAATGGCAGAACTCCACGACTCCAGGATTTGCTCCCGAGGCTTGCCATAACGTAAGGAACCGTGGTGATTTACAGCCAACGTGAGTTGAGCGTGGACAATTAGAGCCAAGCCGAAACATAACATAAAAATGATGGTTTACAAATATTTTTTATAATTTTTATTTATTATAGAATATAGTATTGTCATCAGTATGACATAAGTATACCATATTTGCAGTCGCTACCACATTGGGAAGTGGGTTAAAATTGAGTTACAAGATTTGAGGATACAACAACAGACAAGAGTGAGTTAAATAAAAGCGTCTAATAATAATAATGTCAGTCCATGCCGAATGAGCAAGCTACTCATTGGCCATGTCGTGTGCTCGAATTCACACATCACACACATCGAGGTGGAGTGACTTGCATAATAATCCCACTGGGATTTTTGCACATAGCGTTGCTTTTTCTGCAATTTTTTGCCATCTTTTCTTGGATTTTCTGTTTGCACATAGTCACATAGTCACTTTAAGATGTTTTCTTGTTCATGTTTTTGTTTGCTGCGGTTGCACCCGATTCAAGAGCCGAATGGCTCACAGGGCTTTACCAAATCAATGAAACTGAAAACTGAAAAACTGAGTGGCGGTGCAGTCGCTGTCACTCAAGAGCCCCGGTTAACTTGAGTGAGCAGTGACATCCGAATCGGTCTTTTGAGGTCACTCTCAACCAAACCGGCAAGTATGGCCAAGCAAATACCCCCCTCCGTTGACTGCCATGTATCGATGAATGCAACATCAACTAATCGCATGCGCACAGTCACATACAATAACCGGGGTAATTGTAACAAAGACAGAGATTTCCCATGTGCAGCCTGAACAGACTGTCTGGGACAAGTGCCGAACGCGAGTGGCATGCACCACCCCCGGCCGCCTTTGTCTCTCCCCCCCCCCACCACCACCCACAGTGGCGATGTTTACCACACACCGCTGCAGCAGCTACTCGTTTGGAGGCCGAGTCGACCTAGGGGAGGACCGGCGGCGACGCGAGACATCACCACCGTCATGCGGAGCCTCAACTATGCGATAATTCATCACTTCCAGGGTACTGTACCAGTGGCGTGTGTGTTGTGTGTTATGTGTGTGGTGTGTGTGTGTTGTGCGTGTTGTGTGGTGTGTGTTGTTGTGTGTGTGTGTTGTGTGTGTGTTGTGTGTGTTGTGTGTGTGTTGTGTGTGTTGTGTGTGTGTGTGTGGTGTGTGTGTGTAGTGTGTGTGTGTAGTGTGTCTCTCTCTCTCTCTGTGTGTGTGTAGTGTGTGTGGTGTGTCTGTGTGTTGTGTGTGTGGTGTGTGTGTGTGTTGTGTGTGTGTGTGGTGGTGTGTGTAGTGTGTCTCTCTCTCTGTGTGTGTGTAGTGTGTGTGGTGTGTCTGTGTGTGTTGTGTGTGTGGTGTGTCTCTGTGTGCGTAGGTGTGTAGTGTAGGTGTGTGGTGTGTGTGTGTGGAGTGTGTCTCTGTGTGTAGTGTGTGGTGTGTAGTGTGTCTCTCTCTGTGTGTGTGTAGTGTGTCTCTGTGTGTGTGTGGTGTGTGTGTGGTGTGTGTAGTGTGTGTGTAGTGTGTGTGTCTGTGTGTGTGGTGTGTGTGTGGTGTGTGTAGTGTGTGTGTGGTGTGTGTGTAGTGTCTGTGTGTAGTGTCTGTGTGTAGTGTCTGTGTGTAGTGTCTGTGTGTAGTGTATCTCTGTGTGTGTCTAGTATGTGTCTCTGTGTATGTAGTATGTGTGTAGTCTGTGTGTGTAGTGTGTGTAGTGTGTCTGTGTGTAGTGTGTGTGACTGTGGGTGTATAGTGTGTCTGTGTGTAGTGTGTGTAATGTATCTGTGTGTAGTGTCTCTCTGTGTGTGTGTAGTATCTCTGTGTGTGTGTAGTGTGTGTGACTGTGTGTGCAGTGTGTGTGTAGTGTGTCTGTGTGTGTAGTGTCTGTGTGTAGTGTGTGTGTAGTGTCTCTGTGTGTGTGTAGTATCTGTGTGTGTGTAGTATCTGTGTGTGTGTGTGTATCTCTCTGTGTGTGTGTACACCACATCTCTGTGTGTGTGTACACCACATCTGAACATCGCGATGCGGGCCTTGTAACGCCGCTCCTGCGCCGTGAGGACATCAAACAACGTCGCGATTTGTTATTTTTACATTTTGTTCTTGTTATTGCTAACTTTGCCGTGAGCCACGCATTGCAACTCCACCCCCCACCCCGCATAACCAATCCCCATACATATTTTCAAATGCTGTTGCTAATTTAAAAAAACAAAGCATCTCGACACGGCAACGTCACAATATCAACCGCGATGCAAACGAATGTCAGCAGCTGTATTACTCACGTCGCTGCTGCTGCTGCTGCCAAACTTAGTCTTGCTCCTTGTAATTAACGCCGCCGCCGCCTCCCGCTTTGTTGAGCGAGCTAAGCCGACACGAGCTGCCGCAGAGAGCGCCCGAGCGTCTCGCCGACCCGTCCCCACGCGCCTGGGGGTCGTGGGGGAGCTGCTGCCGCCGCCGCCGCCTCCTCGGGGTTTTTTATATTCCGAGCGCCACGGCGCCGCCTCGCACGCGACACCCCCACCCACCCCCTCATCCCCCGCACCCCTCCCCCCGATCCCCCCCATCCCCCCCCACACCCCTCCCCCCAACCCCCTCATCCCCCGCACCCCTCCCCCCATTCCCAGCACTCCCTCCCCCCCATCCCCCGCACTCCCTCCCCCTCGCACGCGACCCCCTCGCACGCGACTCCCCCCCTCATCCCCCGCACCCCTCCCCCCCATCCCCCCGCACTCCCTCCCCCCCATCCCCCGCACTCCCTCCCCCTCGCACGCATCCCCCTCGCACGCGACAACCCCTCCCCTCATCCCCCGCACCCCTCCCCCCCATCCCCCGCACTCCCTCCCCCCATCTCCCGCACTCTTTCCCCCCATCCCCCGCACTCCCGCCCCCGCACTCCCTCCCCCGCGCACTCCCTCACCCCCGCACTACATCCCCCTCGCACGCGACCCCCCCCCTTCCCCCGCACCCCTCCCCCCCATCCCCCGCACTCCCTCCCCCCCATCCCCCGCACCCCTCCCTCCCATCCCCCGCACCCCTCCCTCCCCATCCCCCCGCACCCCTCCCCCCCGCACTCCCTCCCCCCCGCACTCCCTCCTCCCCCATCCTCCGCATCCCCCGCACCCCTCCCCCGCACCCCCTCCCCCCCATCCTCCGCATCCTTCGCATCCCCCGCACCCACCACCCCCGCACACCCCCCTCCCCCTCCCCATACATTGCCACCCCTCCCCGTCTCGCGCGAGACTACGTTCCCCACTCCCCATTCCGCCCCCCTCCCACCGCCTTCTCATCCTCCTCTGAACCCCCCCCCCCCACCCCGTAAGCCATCGGCCACGATGAGCGTTGGACCAATCGCAGGGAGGCGATGATTTCGTAACAAAAGAGGCAGGGTGACCCCTGTGTGCCTACCTGGTCACCCAGTGCCCTGGTGATCCCGCGGTGAATTCAATCGCGTGTGAAGTTTACGCTGAACCGAGCCATGGGTCGCACGCGCCGTCTTTGCCAATGATCATTGTGGGCTTCTGAAATTGTTGGCGTGGAAATGCACATCCGATTAGCACGGTTGGCTACGTACGGTGCGACAGAAGTTCAGCATATATACATAATTAAATATTAACATGAAAGCAAAAATAAATATAAAAAATTTCACAATATTCCCATTGAACATTATTTTAGTACGCTATATATACGACACAGTTTTGGACAAACCTTATACTGTGCTCATTTTACAAGTCATGTGTTGGGAAATATATTTGTGTCGGCTTTTCTTTTGCTGTTTCATTGTGGATCATTTTTATTTTTACGAGTGCTCAGCTATGTTGAAATACTTCTCTGAACGCATAACTCTGTGTAACGCAGCTGAATGTATGGTATGTACTTCCCCTTAGAGTTCATACTTTATGCTGAGTAACCATACGCAGTGGACGGGGGAGAGTGGGATGGGCGCAGTGATTTCCCCCCACTGCGTTATAAACCCTCTCAACTTAAATTCGTTTTCGGGCAACGCCTGAAACAGTGACCCCTACTTACCTGGTCACCCAGTGCCCGGGTGAACTGCGGTGAATTACATCGTGTGTGAAGTTTACACTGAACTGAGCCATGGATCGCACGCACCGTCTTTGCAATGATAATTGTGTGCTTCTTAAATTGTTGGCGTGACAATGCATATCCGATTACGTTGCGACAGAAGTTCAACATACATACAAGTGTGTGTTTTTTTTATGTAACTATATGTTTGGTGATGGGTTGTTTTAAACACATGTTTGCGGACAAATAAACATTTAGGTGGTGCTCATTCATTATCGACTCTGAACAAGTAGTGGACATTCCATATTCTTATGGCGGGGGCCTGTGCATTCATAGCACGACCACTTGAATCCTCACAAGCTGCTTGCTACTCATTGTATCAACTCCAGAACAGTAAAACTCTAAACCTGAGCCAATCGATTTTCACCTGGTTGTAATAAAAGGGCATATATCTACATTGTTCAACCACAGTGCCATGGCAGAAATACCATCTAGGAAATCAAACATGTTTTTTTCTTTATAGTTTATTGGCATATGTACCCAACCACTAGTGGAGCCAGTGGGGGTGGTGTGGCACGTGCCCCCCAATGATCCGATCGAAATCCCTCATTTCGATCGGATCATTGGGGTTTATTAGTAATAAATCGGCATTTAGCGACCCTCACTGCCACTGTGTAGCATATTATTATGTGCCAGGGACTCTATGAGATGATGGACAATAGTCTGAGTCCATAATTGCCAATAAGTAACGGCAAAGCAGTTATAAGTGATTCGCAGAATTGTGCGCAGTTGCGTATACAGTACACGACTTCCCTGAAGGCATTCACCTTCAGCGAGCGCGATGCCGATCACACAACGTGGTTCGAATTCGAGCCTCGATCGATGGCTGCGCCATCGCCGCACACGCGTCGAATAAAAAGCAAGGGACAAGTCCTCACTTACTAACAACTCCTATCATTTTTCATTGCTGGAGGAGTTTTCCCCCCGACCTGAAAATCCTGGCTCCGCCATTGAACCAAACAGTAGGTAAAGTGTCAGGGTATTACTCCACACCCTGCACATGAGGGAACTCACCTACAATGAGCCAGAATTATTTAAAACAATTGTGATGGACAGTAGATAAATAAGTTATACACCAATTTCATGACACAGAAGCTAAAGCAGTCACAATCTTATTCTTTCATCCTTAATCTCAGCAACAACCTAAGTAGACAATGTTCCTGCCCATGGCAAGCCATATTTCAAATTCCGGATTCAGTGTTGTAAACTGTACTGACCCCTATCCCCGACTACACTCAACTGTCAAGTTCATCATGCGCAATGACCGAAAACCTGATTTTACAAAGCCTTAAGGTCATATGCAACTATAGGCAACATTCAGACAATGGCTCGTTTCACACCATTGCAGCATAAGCTAGGAAATCAAGGGGTCACATTTTGGGGACATGAGCGGAACCTAAGTTACCATACGGTGGAAGTGGTGGAAAATTTTGTTTATTCACTGTGCAAAGAATCTGGCCACACACCGGTGTGCTGTACGATTAATGAATTGGCATGTTTTGTCTACGTGACAAACCTTACTATTTGTCTGTGTCGGGTGGTGGCGGGTTTAACGACACATTTAGATTTACGCGATCTAACCCAAAAAAATATATTATGGATATTATCCATGAGACTAATTAGATAATCTATCGAAATTGAAAGAAATCAAAATAACTTTAACCGTTGAGATAGCTACCACCTTAGTGCTGCGTGGAAGAGAATAATCAAATAATACATTTTTTAAATACATGCCTACAAAGGGCAGCGTACTTGAATAGGGATTACCATTGGTAACGCAATTTTAACAAACACAATAGACATGAAGGACAAGTTCAAAGGGCTTGCATGATGTACATGCATAATGTACGTTGCCTCAGTAATCCCCCCCACATGGTGCAAGAGTACAGAAGCGTGGTAACTACATCTACGCCTCTATTAAGGAACGAAACAGTAAGACTTTTACACAAATCTGGCTGTCGCCTGATGAAGCTAGTTGTAATTACTGGCGAAATGTCGTATTCAGATTGTAAATGTTGTGGCTTGGCTCTCCAACACACTAGTGCTGTACTAGTGACGAATTGGCATGTTCTGTTTACGTGACAACCCTTACTAGTTGGCTGTTTTTTCGGGTGGTGGCAGGTTTTAACGACACATTTACATATTTATGCGATCTAACCCAAAAACCTCCATTATGGATGATATTGGTCGCGAAAGCGTACGTGTTAAACTGATTATGGATATTGGTCGCGAAAGCCTACATGTTGAACTGACGAACCGTTGGCTTTGCATTTACCAAATACATTTATTGATCTTTTACGTCTACAACATGTCCGAAACACCATTCATTTTATAGCTACAGTATTTGCAAACAAAAGCGATAACATGAAAGGAATATTGTATACGTATTTGCACTTTATACAATGTTCACTGAGCTCACCATCTTTGTGAGGTCGAATGCAACAGCGTTTGCCCTCTGAGGAGACTAGCCTTAAAGAAATGTATAATTTTCACCAATGGCTAAGGGCCAACAAATGAGATGAACATAATCACACACCTTGAGAAAGGTGATGCTGACATGTTAATGTTTGGAGAGGCTCTACTCAAAATTTGGATTATATATTTACATAAGACCTAGAGTCAATTTCAAATACAGTAACAATACTGGTGTATCGTAAATCTGGATTATATATTTACATAAGACCTAGAGTCAATTGCAAATACTGTAAAAATACTGGTGTATCGAATACGATGCTGATGCTGTATTACTTAATACTCTCTTAAGTGCTGTTTTAAAAGACCATGTCTAACGCAGGCAGCTGGAGCAATAGAGTTCTGGCAAAGTTTGTCACTTTCATCTTCTTGGTTCTTTCGGTAAAGTCACGTAGAATGGAAATAATAAAATAATATTAATAAAACATAATACAATTAAAACGTTTCGGCCACAACGCAAGCAGCCGTCCTCAGGTGAAGAACAGGTCTGTCGAGAAGACAGAGATGCATCCCTGCAGTCACGAAAGCTTTAAATTGAAAAATGTTGTCACTTTGATAATGGGTGGAGAAAATCAAGAAACCAATGTATCACCTGCTCTAGATTTCTGAATCAAACGCTTTGATTGTATAATCTTGTAAATCCATATGACTGTCGCATTTGTAGTGACTGTGAATGTCACTGTGTGGTGCCGGGCTGCGAGGCCACGGCGGATAATATGTTGTCATTATGGGCAGCCCAGTTACTGGGCGTAGTACCAGCCCTAGCGGGGCTTGGATGAGCGGTGGTGAGCACAGAGGCACCACCTACAGTGTGCAGTGCGGGCTCCCGGTGAGGGAGCGAGAGAGTGTCAGCCAGCCAGGGTTACGTTGGGGCATGATACGCTGGTTGACCTGCGACAC